AAGCTGGTCTATCGTTGTAGTAAAGATTTGGCTTGACTTAGCCAAGCTTATCATGATTATAGCCAATTTCCTATATATATGCTGTACATGCTGGCTGGGGAATTCTGGGAGCTGATGTCCACATCTCTTAAAATGGTCACAAATGAGAAACACTACCCTAATGATTTTCTCCTTTAATTTTAGCTCATTTTAGGTATTGTCTACGCTTAATTTTACTATCGATTTAGAGATGATAAACCGATGGAGGGAAGAAGTAAAAAGAGAAACACACGTATATTTTAAATCATTTTTAAAAATCCCCTTCATTTGGGTTTTGGGAGCCTTCTGAAGAACTAAGGCTACATATCACAATCCAGTCCAAAAAAGTGCTTTTTACAAAATGAAGAATATGTAAACACAGCTCCCTATGATTCGTTCTCCTATCAAAGGACGAAAGACCCTCCTGGGTTAAAGTCACCCCCAAATCAAAACTTTCTATTGAAATCCAGCTTTTATTTATATCTTTTTTTATTTTTTTTAAAGGGAAATTAACATATGTTTATAAGTGCATGTTTTGGATTAAATCTATGGGCTGCCTCGGTTGCAAATCAAGCCGGAATGGTTTTGCTTAATCTATACTTAGTGTAAGCTAATAAATCCGTATGATAATGCTTCTGTTTAATTAGGCAAACACTTGTGGGTATTTTCAAAGAACAAATACGATCTAATTTAGGGCTTATCCAATGCCAAACCCCATCTAAGAGAGCTTCCAAGTGCTTCTCGTGTATTCACACGAAGTATGGGTCTCTACAGGGGAACATTTCTGAAATGTAGAATAGGAATAGGAATAGGAATAGGAATAGGAATAGGAATAGGAATAGAATAGAATAGAATAGAATAGAATAGAATAGAATAGAATCTCCCTTGGAAGAGTTAGCACTCAAATTTATTCATTTATTTTGTCATGTTCATTTATTTATTAGTTCAATTTATATGCTGTCTTTCTCCGAAGATTCAGGGCTGTTTACAATGCATTTAAAAAAAAAAAAAAAACCATTATAAAAACATTTAAAAATTAAAACATTAAAACCCATTCACACCATTCATGTCCAGATCTCACAAGATGCAGTGACAAGATGCAGATACACTCATGCAGTGTATACTGGAGGTATACACTGCAGAAAGCTTTGAACGAAAGCAAAACACATTTGGTAATGAGAAAAATTGGTGGGTCCTCATCTCAACTCTCATTTGACATGATACGGCTGGGAACTATTAATTACCACAAAGGAAAATTAACACTAGAATATTTGCCGTACCCATCCGTCCTGCAGACTGTGGTCCCTCACTTTCCTTGGTTATCAAGAAGTCTTATCAACTTGAAAAAGTCGGACGGTTGCAGAAGGCCCCAGAAGTTTTTCAACTTTAGCAATTTGACCACAAAATGTATGGAATAAGGATGCTGGGGAATTCTGGGAATTGAAGGCCACAAGTTTTCAAGTTGCCAAGGTTGGGCACCTCCGCATTGAACCTTCAACTGCATAGTCCCACCACAGAGTCTGGCCCATAGTTGGGAATAAGGTCTAAGTCTCCGGATTAATTTCTTTACATGGAAAGTATTTGGTTTGGGGTTGCAAAATATTAGTTGAATAATCAAAACCTCCTGTCGAAATACCACAACCGCCTTTTCTGAAAAGCTCGGGGGGTTAATCTTGGTGTCAAATCGAGCTGGTTTAAATTATCGTAACGCATAAGAAGGAGCCTTAATGACAATAGTGGGGTGGGAAGCCAAAGAATACGAGGGAATATGGGCCAACGGCAGCGAGCTGAATCCAGAGACAGCGAGAACGCCAACATGTTGTGCCTGTTTGAGGAGAAGGGGAGAGACCGTGGAAAGTCGGCATCTGCCGTTCCCAGAACATCTCTCGACAGCGCAAAATATTTGTGAGAACTTGCAGAGTTTAATCCTCGGAGAGAGTCAACAATCCCTCATGAACTGAAAGAGGGAATCGAAATTACAAAGGAAGAATTCTGGGATTTTTGTGGCCCAGATATTTGAGTCGCCTTTGGTGAGATGGGCAGGGAACAAGCTGGATAAAGAGAAAGAAAGAAAGAAAGAAAGAAAGAAAGAAAAGAAAGAAAGAAAGAAAGAAAGAAAGAAAGAAAGAAAGAAGAGAAAGAAAGGAGAAAGAAGGGAGGAAGGAAAGGAAAGGAAGAAAGGAAAAGAAGAAAGGAGGGAAGAAGGGAGGGAAAAAAGAAAGGGAGGAAGAAAAAGAAGGGAGGGAGGGAGGCAAGGAAAGAGAAAGGAAGGAAGGAAGGAAGGAAGGAAGGAAGGAAGGAAGAAGGAAGGAGGGAGGAAGGCAAGGAAAAAAAGAAAGAGAGGAAGAGAAAGAAGGGAGGGAGGCAAGGAAAGAGAAAGGAAGGAAGAAAGAAAGAGAAGGAGGGAGGGAGGAAGGCAAGGAAAAAAGAAAGAAAGAGAAAGAAGGAAGGAGGGAGGGAGGAAGGCAAGGAAAGAGAAAGGAAGGAAAAAAAAGGATGGATAGATGGTAGATAGATATACAGACAGACAGACCTACAGCCAATAAATTGGCCTCTTAATATAAAACCACAAATTAACCCAGCATGGTTGCCGTTTCAAAACCCTCGCTGGGCAGACACGTATCTGATGCCATTGTAGGTAGTCCTCAACATACGACCGTAACTGAGCCCAACATTTCCATTGATAAGCAAGACGGTTGCTGAGTGAGTTGCGTCCCATTTTACGACCTTTCTGGCCACCGTTGTTAAGCAAACTCCTGCAGCTGTCAAGAGAACCGTGCCGTCGTTAAGCGAAGCCGGCTTCCCCCGTCGAGTTCGCTTGTCTGAAGCCAGGCGGCAAGGTTACACAAGTGGAAATCGCGTGACACCCCCCCCCATGGGACATTGCAATCGTCCTAAGTCCATAACCGTTCTTAGCGCCCAGATTTTGATCACGTGACCACGCGGGGAAAGCTGCAACGGTCATGTGAAAAACCGGTCAGAAGTCCGCTTTCCTCGGTGTGTTGTTGTAACTTGGAACGGGCCACTCAACGAATCGTTGGACGTCGAGGACTATCTCTAGGCCCAGATGGTTCAAACTATACGCAGATCTTGTGCTTTTTAAAAAAAAAAAAAAAAAAATCCCATATTTTGTCTGCCTCCCCTCCCTTCGCTCTTTCTGTTGAACTGTAATGAATTGTCTCATAATCTATTCCATCTTCTCGCCATTAGCAGGCTCGGAGTGTTTCACAAATAGCAGCAAAAGAACTCATTTTCCAGAGCTTTAATCACACAAAGAGGGGACGCCTAATTCTCTAAATGAAATGGTCTGTGATCACTGAAGCAGAGATTTAATATATCATGGCAAATTAGGTAGATTTTAATAAATTACTTATCTTTCCAAATACTTTACATCTACCGTGCACAAAAGGAAAAGATCGCCTGTTTTTGCAAACAGCGGGGCGGCTCTCCCCCCACAAAATCCCAGTTAAAGACTTTAAAATAACACACACACACTCACACTCACACAAACACACACACTCACGCAAATAAATAAAACAAAAATTGTTTCCGGAAACAAAACTCTTTCACAGAAGTGAGCAGAGAGGGTTGGGCCCAGTGTTATTCGTGGCTCCTTCCATCCCCATTTTTCTTTATTTTTTTTTTTTTTTAATGTTACCTATTCCTTGCGAATTTCATTTAAATCTTTTTCATCACCCTCGCTGGAAAGCTGGAATTTTTCCAGGTTACGCAAGTAGTCCTCAACCTACGACCAACATTTCTGCAAAGTGAGACAGTCGCTCCAGTGAATTCCCCCGCCCCGTTTTATGATCTTTCTTGCCACCGTTGTTAAGCGAATCACTGCAGCTATTCCTAACACGGTTGTTAAGTGAATCTGGCTGCCCCGTTAGACTTTGCTTGTCAGAAGGTGGCAAAAGGCGGATAGAAGGACAAGTCTGTATTTTGATCACGTGACCATGGGGATGCTTTGACTTTGACTTTAATTCAACTTGTATACCGCCCTTCTCCCCACGGGGACTCAGGGTGGTGAACAGCCAGACTTAAAACACATATAGTACAAAAGTGAAGAAAAAACTAAAAATAAATTAAATCATCGTCATTTCCAATTTAAAATCCCAGATCTGCAAAATCGAAAAGTTCCCAATTTAAAACCCAGAATCAATAAAATCAAAAATTTAAAAACCCCATTAAAACCATTTTAAGCTAGGCCAGTCTACGACGGTCATAACTGTGAAAAACACTTGTAAGTCACTTCAGTGCTGTCGTAACTTTGAATGGTCACTAAATGAACGGTTGTAAGGCGAGGACTACCTTGAATCATGTATTATACGAATACGGTCTAAATGGGAGGAACGTAGACCAAGCAGAGAGAAGGAACAGCTAAGCCTGAAATGTAAAAACACTTTAATATGCGGTTGATATATGTAAATGTTGTGGCCGGCCGCTCAGGCAGCCGAATCAGAGGAGGAGGAGTGGGAGCCAAGATCAGCATCAGGGCAACCTGAGAGCTCCGAGGGGGAAGAGGGAATGGAGCTGGCAGAGAGAGAAAGAGACAGACGTGGAGCCTGGGCCATCCGTCAGCCCTCAGATGGAAAGTCAACAGCCCTCAGGTCTGGAGGTGGCTGATGAGGAAGAGGAGGAACAGCTGGGCCCAGTGCCTGATGCGTGGCTGCGCAGAGGAGAGGAGAGCAGTGGAAATCTATGGGCCGGTCCTTGGGACGGAAGAGCCACTGCTGCTAACAAGGCCCCGCCCTAGCTCTGGAGATAAAAGGCAGGGGGCGGAGATGAATAGATGTGGCAGACAACTATTCATCTTCCGGACGGAAGGATGTGTTAGCCTGATTTCTCTATCTCTTTTGGCATTCCTAATTAAAGGAATCTTTGAGTTCACGTCAGAGGGTTTGTTGTGTTTGGGGAGCTGGGTCAGAACAGTAAATGTTCTGCCCCAGCTATGGACCCCAAAGAACACAGCACACACAAAGTTTGTACAAAACTTAATTTACTAAAATAACTCGGTCTTTTTCAAAACAAGGGCTGTTAATAAACTTTCTTAACAGCCTACAAGAAACCAAAGATAAAGTAATCACAATCCTACTAAAGTTGGCAGAAAGCCCAGAAGCAATTTGCAGAGAATCCAGACGCGAAGTAGAGTGAACTAAAGTTGTTCCCTACAAATTGCTTCAGTCGGCGTTCCTCCTGAAATAGGCTAAGGGAGTAGCCAATTAGCCCCAAGCCTTATTCTCGAGGAGACCTCCTCCTGAGGAGCCACTCCTGTCTTTTGGCCGCTTTGCGCGCCCGTGCATCGAGAAGAGGCTCCTCCTCTTCGTCCTCTTCACTTAAAGGAGCTTCTGGAGGTTCTGAAGGCCTCTGGCACCACATCTTCTCCAGCCTCCTCACTGTCCGACTCAAGTGCCAGCTGCACAGGCTGCTGGCGCAACACCACACCAGCCTCCTCGCTGTCAGCTACAATTTGCACAGGCCGCTGATGGGCCACAACAGTCAATCTCTTTTGCTTACAGATGACCCTCCCTTTCAAGATACCCATGTACACATCCATACACACCATTTATCACACACACACACACACACACACACACCTACTTTCCAAACTTGATAATCTCAACTCTTTGCAGAAGGGCAAAAGTTGTGTGTTTCTTTCTTTGTTTCTTTTTTTTTCTTCGTAAAAGCTTGCAGTAATTTAATAAATCTGGGGACTAGCCTCATTCTTTGTCTTTAATTGATAGAAATGGCAGGCATCAAAGGAAACGCATACTGAGACTTAATGTGCATAAAATGGATATTAGCATTTTAAAGAGGCAGATTAACACATTTATCCAAGTAATTTTCATATATTGCTTCTAATAAAAGCTTTGCAGTATAAAATTCTTAATGAGGCTAATCGCAGGCATTCCATTTAGTGGGGTGATTAGGGATAACAGAGGTATTTTTAATCAGTTTTCTGAGGCTTAAGTGTATTATTATTATTAGTATTATTATATAATTACTTGATTTTTCACGACTTTTGTATACGGAATATATTTATACATATACACAGTAGACAAGTCAGTCTCTTTCTCTCCTTCTCTCTCTTTCTTTCTCTCGCCTTCCTCTCTCTCTCTTTCTCTCCTTCTCTCTCTCTCTCCTTCTCTCTTTATATACACATATCCAATTAACAAAAAGTTCCATCATTCAGTCATGTAGATATTAATTATTTACAGGCTGATGGGCTAGAATGATAGCCCTGGGCTGGGGACAGAGGGAGAGAAATATAAAAATATAAAATTCAAACCAGGGAGAAAAAAATATACAAACTTTAAAACTGCAAACTGAGCAGGCTTTACATACAAATTAGACATTTCAATATAAGGTAGTATCTCTCTCTCTCTCTTGCTTTCCATCAAACCTGGCCAGGCCTCCCTCCAGGTTCAGGTTTCCTGAGCATTTCCACGCTTCTTCCAGACTGTATTCAGCACCGCCAGGGCCTCTACAGTCACTTTCAGCTTCCCAATCACTGTCCCGCCGTCTTCTGAATTGAAAACTGGAGAGGAAAAAACCAGCAGAAAAAGAGACTGACACATTAAGAAGCAAGATTGGTCACCTGGTGGTGCCCGTTTCCATAATTACCGCTTAATTGCAGACACTGAAAACAGTTGGCATACATTTTGTTACACGGATGTACACAAGAAAAAAAAACCTCTCCATTTCCAGCAAGGGAAGAATGTGGAGCACTCTTTAATATGAGGCTTCCACATATGATACAATTCTGTTAATATTGCTCTGAATATATTTGTGGGACAGAAGCTGCATTGATTTCCACGAGAGCTGGGAACTTCATGATGGAGGGACAGAGGCCAACACATCAGTCTCTCTACACGCAATCTTGCCTCCTGAAGTCATTGGAAAGTTTGAATGGCATTTGCAAGGGCTTATATAGAACACAGGGACATGGTGGCTCAGTGACTAAGACACTGAGCTTGTCGATCAAACGGTTAGCAGTTCAGCGGTTCAAATCCCTAGCGCCGCGTAACGGGCTGAGCTCCCGTTGCTTGTCCCAGCTTCTGCCAACCTAGCAGTTCGAAAGCACGTAAAAAATGCAAGTAGAAAAATATGAAAGCAGTGAAATATCTAGGACCTGAGGAAGCACCAATGTTCCATGGTTCAATTATTCCTAGTGGTATTTTTTCCCACCGGAAAGAGGAATAAGTGGATACATTAAATTTACATTTTAAAATTTACATTATTAAAAGAGAACACTTTGTGCCTTAAAAAAAGAAAAAGAAAAAAAAAAAAGAAGCAGATTGTCGGACGTCTTAACTTCTCCATCTTTGCGTAGCGTCAGCCAGACAGCAAAAAGGAGACTTGGACATGATTAAAAAAAGAGAGAGAGAGGAAGGCAGCGGGAGAGCAATAGCCTTCAGCTCCATGTTTCTAAGGAGCATCGTGACTCTCTCTTGGGTAGGGAGGCTGCAACGATGACCCAGCCTGAGCCACATGGGTCTTCAGGTCAAACCACGGAGCCTCTGAGGTCGGTTTAGGAGGTGACCGGGTCAAGACCCAAAGACCAAGCTGACGGCTTCTGGGAAAAACCCTTTTCCTCTCTCTTTCAAAAAGCAAAATCTTCCAAAAAAACCTCCCTGTAAATAAAAGTTTTTCTTCCAAAATTGAGATTACAGTTTAGCTCTTTAAATTGACTGTTTTAGAAAGAGAGGAAGTGCCTTTCCAAGACGGTCACCTGACTGGATCACCTGACAATACAGTTGGCACTATTCACTGGCACTATTCAGGTGACTCCGAGGGCACAGATAAACCTCCAAGCGGCCTCAATGAGTCTCAGAAAGAGCGCCAACGACCAGAGGACTGCAAACAATATACCGTATTTTTCGGAGTATAAGACGCACTTTTTTCCCCCAAAAAAGAGGGTGAAAATCTGAGTGCGTCTTATACTCCGAATGTAGCCCTGCCCAGCTTCTCAAATGGAGGTTTCAGAGGCTGAAAAAAGCATCAGAAACGAAGCTTCAGAAAAGAAGCCCCCAAGCAGAGCTTCAGAAGCTTTTTTTCTGAAGCTGTTTCAGAGGCTTTCAGAGGCAAGAAAAGAAAGTTTTTTCTGAGTTTCAGATGTTTCAGAGGCAGAAAAAAAAGCAAAAAAAAAGCAGGTGTGGTCTTACTAAGGCTTTACAGAGTGGTATTAGTACCTCCCTTGATCTTGATTGTTTCCCTCTGTTAATGCAGTTTAGGATTGCATTGGCTTTTTTGGCTGCCGCCGTTAAAGAAGGACTTACCATCAAGGTCTTGTTCAATGAGGTCTTGCCTTTTCTGAAATATCTGGCTTAAGCTCACGTAAGCAAAGCCAATATCCTCACACTCCAGATCCTGTTGATCTTCCGGAGGGTCACTGACCACTGTAAATCGTATACTGGGGGAAATAAAAAGAGAGCAAGTGGGTTATTTCTGACATTACACAGCTGCCCGGCTGGGAATTTTAAAAGTCAGATGAAACCTCAGAGGAACATGAGTTGAACTGTTGTCCAAAGGCACCTTCTGGAGCAAGAAGGTCCTTGGAGGACTTTGGGTAAGGCTCTGATCTGGACCGGGAAGGTCCCTACAAATCAACAGTCAGGAGTTGCATTTTGTCCGAAAGGGAAGTAGCTGCTTTAATGAGACGCTTGTAACATAAGGGAAAATTCTGTTCTTAGAGCATCTTTCAAGAGAGCATCAACAATCCGTTACCGAGCGGCAGAGTGACAGTAGCTACACTGATTTATGCTCTCAGCACATTTGGCTCTTATGATCATGGGAAACGGAGATGAATTAAGGGTGTCCCTGCTTCATAGTGTCTCATTTAGCAACAGTTCCCCAAAGTAGTTAGACATCCTTCCTTCTTTCCTTCCTTCCTTCCTTCCTTCCTTCCTTCCTTCCTCCCTCCCTTCATTCCTCTCTTCTCTTCTCCTCTCCCCTTCTCCTCTCCCCCTCTCTCCTCCCTTCCTTCCCTTCTTCTCTTCTCCTCTCCTCCCTCTTCTCTCTCCTCTCCCCACCTCCCTCCTCCCTCCCTTCTTTCCCTTCCCTTCCCTTCCCTCCCTCTCCTCTTCTCCTCTCCTCTCTCCTCCTCTCTCCTCCCCTCCCCTCCCTTTCCTCTCCCCTCTCCCTTCCTTCCTTATAGCTACCCATCTCAGTCAATGACTCTGGACAGTTTACAATTCCTAGCTCTGTTTAATTCAGATCCGGAAGTATGCCCTTAAACAAAACAATAAACAAAAATATATATATATTATTTTTTAGGAAGGAACGAGGGAAAAGACCATCAAGGGGGTGGGGTGGGGTTTAAAACCAGGGTCTCATGGAAGACCAGAAACAATTTATCATTTCTTTATTTTACAAGGTAGCATCCCTATCTAAAGATACTTTGCGGCGTGGTAGACAGGGGCTGGCAAAAGGGGCCCTGTAGCCTTCTGGCTTCTCCTTCCAACAGAAAAAGGAAACTCTTTTTATCTGCCCATCCACAAGCATTAAAAAAACCCCAAAAACAACTCAGGATAAAACGCGTTATTTCAGAAGTTTCCAATATATAATACAGCAGAATGTCCATTAGCCGTAAACATTGCTTGTGGTGGGCTCTGTCATTTGACGTTCTGCCAATAAAACTATTAATTCATGTACGAAGCCCTGGGAAGAAATATTATTTTGGAACGCATCCTTGCTTAAGTTTAGATGAAAACGGGAAGGAAACTCTTTCGGGGGGGGGGGGACGGACCCAATTTAAAATAATGCCTCTTTTTTTTAAAAAAAAAAACAGATCAAGAATCATCTTTCAAATACAGGGGGAGGAGGGGGCTTGAGTGCACTAGCCCACCTATCGTTCCTGCCGCATTTTCATATTTTTCTCCTGTTGCCGGTTCAAATCTGTCATTTCCGTTCGACCAATAAACCTTACACAACGGGTCGGCCTTGTTTGTTGACTTGGCAATGCGGAATGACACAAAGCGCAAAGGCGAGTGTCACAAATGGCTTTCTCTGGCGCCTCAGCCAACCCACCACAAGTTTAGCCAGACCGCAGAAAATTAGCTTTGCAGATTGTTACGCCTGTTGTGCGAGTTGCTTTTTTTTCCCCCCTGAACCAAACCAAATAAACAAAACAAAACAAAAAAAAACCATCAACGTCAATGCAAATTAACGCCATTCAGGACTGAGCAGATGTGGCTTCGAAAATATTTAATTTAGCTTCCCAGCTGTCCCAAAAGATCGTATTATTGGCAACAGGAGGAAACTTTTTACGTAGGATGGGGCAAAAATAAAAAGCCCAGATCTATAGGTGTTAACATACGTGTAGGAACATTGTGGTTTATTATTTATCCCCTTGGGATTTGATTCTTACAGAATATTAAGCCACAACGTTGTTTGAGTTTAACCATGACGTAATAATGGCTTCAAATATTGAGAACAAAACCATTGTTGGCTGCAGAATCCTGAATAGTTTTGTCGAGAGCTTATTATTATTATTAGGAGTGAATTGAAAATGGTGGCTGTCTCCTTATTAATGTATTTGCTATGTCCGTTTCTCGTGGTTATTGACAGAAGAGTTGATTTACAAACTCCGAACAAGCCATCATTGTTTCTTTTATTTAGAAACTGCCTTCTTGTTACTTTGGGGACTGAACGCACAAATTCAGCCGATATTTCAGTTGCCGAATGCCAAATTAGAGAAATTACAGGGGCTCTGTGAGGGAAATGAGCAATTTCCAAATTCAATAAATACACCGCATTCGTACAGTAATTCTACAGCACATCTGGAGAGTTTAAAAATACTTCACACCTGCAGTTTTGACAATGTTTAACAATAGCAACCCGATTGCCCGTTTTTTTAAAAAAATAACTTTTCCCCCCCGATGTCCAGAAGATGGAAATTGCAACTGAGAACCTAGGAAATTCAATCTGCAAACTAAAAAGAGTGACTTTAATTCTCGTCTTGGTTTTTTTTTTTTTTTTTTTTTTTACAGTGTGAGTTACTGCAATTTTTACTTATCCCTGAAATTTCCTTTCCCCACATACGTGGCCAATTTGGAGCGATATTTTTATCCCGGGTTGTTTGGTTTCCTAAACTTTAAAGTTTGGTTCCTGTTTCAAATGAAAGGGGGGGGGGGGAAGAAATCTTCTGATATTATTATATAGGGTTTTGTGATAGGAAACATGTGCCCGAGGAACGAAGCCGCCAACTTTACAATCTGCGGCATCTGTGCATTTGAGAACAATAATGTGCATTTCCCATCATCTCTCCTGATGGCTGGACTTCAAAGATGGGCCTCGAGCCGGAAGAGGGAGGAAGGAGCGATTCACATATTCAAGTGGTCCGCACATGGGGACATCTTATATGGGACAAACTAGAAGAGGATGCTATAATTGGTTAAGGCGCCAGGCTAGAAAGCAGAAGACACTGAGTTCTGGTCCTGACTTAATCATGAAAGCTAGGTGGATGACTTTGGGCCCGTTACCAGGAGACTGGGAGTTCTAGTCCCGTCCCGCCTTGGCCATGAAAGGTGGGGTGGATGACTTTGGGCCAATTACCAGGGGACTGGGAGTTCTAGTCCTGCCTTGGCCATGAAAACTGGGTGGATGACTTTGGGCCATTACCAGGAGACTGGGAGTTCTAGTCCTGCCTTGGCCATGAAAACTGGGTGGGATGACTTTGGGCCCATTACCAGGAGACTGGGAGTTCTAGTCATGCCTTGGGCCATTGAATTTGGGTGGTTGACTTTGGGCCAATTACCAGGGGACTGGGAGTTCTAGTCCCGTCTTGGCCATGAAAGCTGGGTGGATGACTTTGGGACAATCACCAGGAGACGCTGAGCTCTAGTCTTGCCTTAGGCATGAAAGCCAACTGTGAGACTTTGGACTAGTCCCTCTCTCTCAGCCGAACGCACCTCACAGGGTTGTTGTATGGAAAATAGGAGGAAGGTGTGTTGGATGTGCTCCCTGCCTTGAGTTATTAATAATAATAAAGGTGGGCTATAAATAATGACTTCTTGGTCTGTGTTAATGAATCCAACCATTCATCCATTCGTATGAGTAATTTCTTCTTTGACTGGCAGTAGTTTTTGAGGATGGACAATTGGGGGAAAATGGTGTAGAGAAATATGTTTGTTTGGGTGGGCTGCTGGGGTTTCGCAGGGGTTCGGGAGAACCTCTAGCTAAGATTCTGTGCAGTTCAGAGAACCCCCAAATCCTACTCCTGGTTGACCCCGCCCACCCCACCCCTCCCCTCCCAGGAGTCCCCACGCAGCCCATTTTGGATCCAGGTAAGTGCAGGGCGCACGCGGTGGCGAGGAGAGGATGAAAAATGAGCCTACGGAAGTTTGGGAAGGCTGGAAACGGGCCTGTTTCCAACCTCCAGAGGGCCTCCTGAGCCTGGGGAGGCCATTTTCACCCTCCTGGAGGCACGAGGAAAGCCTCCGGAGTCCAGGGAGGGCAAAAACACACCCTCCCCCCGCTGTGGTGCAGGAAGCTGACTAGGCCACGCCCACCATGGCCACACCCACCCAGCAACCAGGCAGAAAACCCCTTGCTAATTATTTTTGAAGCCCATCCCTGGGTGCCCCACACACAAATTAAATATGGATGTTCTCCTCTGGTTTTCTTCAAAGAAAGATGCAGAATATTTGCAGAATATTTATGAATAGGCACGTCCAGAATCAAAATGCATCCATTTTAAGAGCGACCCAGACATTTTAAGCCAGGATTAACTACAAAGAACATCGAGCAAAAGGCTTGAATTTGTCACATAAAACAATCATCCGTGTCACGGATTATAGGACTACAGGGATATCTTTAACTTTATTTGGAGTTTTACTAGACCCAGCGTGTTATTCATCTCACTAATGTATGCAGTAAATCTGGAAGTCCTTTGCTTGTTTGCTGAAATAAGAAAAGGGGAGGAAGAGGAAGAAGAAGAAGAAGACAAAAATAATCTTTCTGAACTTCAAAGTGCTTTAGATGTGAGACGTGCCCACTTTTAAGGGATCATTTTATGGCGCTTCCTGTCAGATTCCATTAAAAAAAAAAAAAAACAACCACTGTGTGCCAGCCACCATATGAAGCTCAGTTTTGGAAACAAAATGGAGGGGAAAAAAAGATTGGTTGCCTTATTGCCAGCTAATATCCCGTTTGCTGAAACTGTTTATCTGCAAATGCACGAAGCTAATCAGCAGTTTTCTTCAACCAACCGAACCAGCGGCTGCTCCAGCTACGATCAAAATAGCCCAGATCTTGAAATTAAAATGAATTTTTCTCCACACACAGGGTGGACATTAAAAAGGAAAACAGTGCTTTGCTTTTGAAAATTGTAAGCCGCGTCCAGATACCGCGAAGGGTGGATTTTACATTTTCTCAGAATAAACATGGGCATTAGGATGACATTTTCCCCCAAGAACAGCGTGAATTTACGCTCCTATTAAGATAGATAGAAATACAAATTGATTATCTGGCTGCTGGAGTAGCTGAACTTAGTGAAGCAAAAATCAACTTTTCCCAAGTTGACTTTTAGGTTATTTAGGTTATTAAATAACCTAAATATTTAGGTTATTAACCTAAATATTTATGTTATTAAATAACCTAAATTATTTATTTAGGTTATTTAGGTTATTTAGTTGACTTTTAGGTTATTTAGGTTCTCGTTTATTCCTTTTTCCTTTCCCTGCTAAATGTCATTTTCTCCCAAGTATTTATGTCCTCATTTTACACGTAGACTTTGACTTAGGACCACAATTGAGCCCAACGTTCCTGTTGCTAAGTGAGACAGTTAAGTGAATTTTGCCCCGTTTTACGTCCTTCCTTACCACAGTGAATCGCTGCAAGTTGTTAAGTTCGTAACGCAGCTTGTTCAGTGAATATGGCTTCCCCCGTTGACTCTGCTCGTCAGATTCATGTCGGACTTTGCTCGTAACTTCAAAACGGTCACTAAATGAACTGTTGTGAAGTCGAGGACGACCTGTAATGAATAACTACAGCATGGGGAAAGGAAGAAAGGAATAGAGGTAGTTCCTCGACTTATAGCAATTCATTTACTGGTCGTTCGAAGTTACAACGGCACTGAAAAAAGGTACTGATGGCCATTTTTCACACTTATGACCATTGCAGTATCCCCATGGTCATATGATCCAAAATTCAGCCGCTTGGCAATTGACTGTATTTATGATGGTCGCAATGTCCCGGGGTCACGTGATCCCCTTTTGCAACCTCCTGACAAGCCAAGTCCATGGGGGAAAGCCAGATTCACTGAACCACCGTGTGACTCATTTAACAACTCCAGTGATTCACTTAACAAATGCGGTGAGAAAAGTTGTGAAACGAGACAACGCTTGCTTAACCGATTTCTTCACTTAGCAACATAAATTCTGGGCTTGGTTATGATCATAACCCGAGGACTACCCATATGACTGAGGAATACGAAGCAACGTGTCCTCTCAAAAATTTACCTTCCATGTCTGGGCTCAGATCCGCAAACGACAGCCTTGAGATAATCCCACCGTGCTTCGTGCTTGGCTTGATCCACGTATATGACTGCAAAATCAAACAGAAATGAGGCTGCAATGAAGTGCCAGCAAATAAATGCATTTACTTTATAGGACTTCTTTTCCACAGGCTCATCCTTCCTGTTGGTTTCAGCATCTCCAAATAGCAATAGCCCTTAGACTTATATACCGCTTCATGGTGCTTTACAGTCCTCTCTAAGCGGGTTACAGGGTCAGCCTCTTGCCCCCAACAATCTGGGTCCTCATTTTACCGACCTCGGAAGGACGGAAGGATGAGTCAAGTTTGAGCCAGTTGGGACTGAACTCCTGGCAGTGGAGAGATCAGCCAGCAATACTGCATTCTAACCACTGTGCCACCATAGAAGGAAGGAAGGAAGGAAGGAAGGAAGGAAGGAAGGAAGGAAGGAAGGAAGAAAGGAAGGAAGGAAGGAAGGAAGGAAGGAAGGAAGGAAGGAAGGAAGGAAGGACTAGCAATAGCCCTTAGATTTATATACCACTTCGCAGTGCTTTACAGCCCTCTCTAAGCAGTTTACAGAGTCAGCCTCTTGCCCCCAACAATCTGGGTCCTCAGTTTACCCACCTCGGAAGGATGGAAGGCTGAGTCAACCTTGAACCTGGTGAGATTCAAACTCCTGACTGTGGGCAGAGTTAGCCAGCAATACTGCATTCTAACCAATGCGCCAAAGCTCTTGAGATAGAGATAGAGATAGATAGATAGATAGATAGATAGATAGAGAGAGAGAGAGAGAGAGAGAGAGAATGCAAACAGATAGACAGTAATGGATAGATATTGTAGATAGATAGAAGATAAAGAGATAGATGATAGTTAGGAATAGGACTTATATACCGCTTCACAGTGCTTTATAGCCCTCTCTAAGCAATTTGCCAAGTCAGCCTCTTGCCCCTTGACAATCTGGGTCCTCATTTTCCCGACTTCGGAAGGACGGAAGGCTGAGTCAACTTTGTGCAAGTCAGGATCGACTTCCCGGCTGTGGGCAGAGTTAGGCAGCGATACTGCCCCCTGAAATAATATGTTGCCCTAAATTCATATTTACCTATTCTCTCTCTCTCTCTCTCTCTCTCTCTCTCTCTCTCTCTCTCTCTCTCTCCCTCCCTCCCTCCCTCCCTCCCTCCCTCCCTCTCTCTCTCTCTCTCTTTTACAAAGAAACACTAGCATTAAGGCCACACATTCTTTTACAATGACTTATACGGACATGCCGTTCCCATCTGGTACAAGATGCACAATGTTAAAACAAGAATAAAGACTGGAAGCCAATACTAGAAGGTAGAATGTGGAGGGCAGATGAGCAGCCTTTATTTTCAAATATTTCCAGAAAAGGTGGATTTAAAAACAAGAAACACAAAAAAAAAAAAAACAAAAAAAAAAAAACAGATGGCTCCGAATCTTCAACGCGGAGGTCTTTGCTCGTGGTTTGGATCATGCTCAAAGGGACCTGTTGTTCAGTTGAAGGGAGAAAAGATTATATGATTTCAATCCTGAAAACCTTTGGCTGGGCTCTTATTGATGTGAGATATTGGGTGAAAACCATCTGCCTCCACGTAAGAGGCTCCGACTTTGAAAAAAAACCTTCCAGGCTCCTCCTGGGAGCAAGAAATCAAGCCGATAATAAAAAAGATGCAGAATTGTTTTTGATGGTGGCCTGATCCTGTTCTAGAATCACCCTTTAGTTGGGATTGGCTATGGCTAGTCTGGTGAAAAGAAGGATCAGGGGCAGTGGTGAAAGCTTCTGTGGGTTGCCACCGGTTCGCTGCTCGCGCATGCATGGCGCGTGCCAAATGCGTGCTGCACGTGGAAAAAGGAGCCTTTTGAAGGTAAGTAGAACAGTGAAGGGGGTGGAAACAGCTGTGCTGCGCGATTTAGATTAGCTAGAAAGCAGGATTTTCTACTTTCTAGCGAATATAAATTGTACGGCACAGCTGATTGTCGGACCGAACTGGTAGCTTTTATTACTACCGATTCGCCCGAACCGGTGCGAACCGGTAGCATTTCACCCCTGACCAGAGGTGACATGATAGCAGTGTTCTGATTTGAGGGGCTACCACAAAGAAGAGGGAGTCAAGCTATTCTCCAAAGCACCTGAAGGCAGGACAAGAAGCAACGGATGGCCGAAGAGGTTGTAGAAAAAACGCTTTTAATAGCCTCTGACGATCAGGCAACTCAGCTGGGATCGTCAGAGCCTTTTAAAAGCATTTTTTTAACAACTTCTTCGGCCGAAGAGGTTGTAGAAAAAAATGCTTTATTTAAGGCTCTGACGATCCCAGCTGAGCCACACGATCATCAGAGGCTTTTTTTTTTTTTTAACTTTAAAAAGCATTTTTCGGCCGAAGAGGTTGTCGAAAAAACGCTTTTAAAAGTAAAAAAAAAAAAGCCTCTGATGATTGTGCGGCTCAGCTGGGCATGGGGAGGGAGGCAGGGATTTTTGCTACCGGTTCTCCGAACCACCTGCCATCATCGCTACTGGATCGGGCGATCCGGTCCGAACTGGGAGCATTTCAACCCTGCCCTTCTGACAAGCAAAGTCAATGGGAAAGTCAGATTCGCTTAACAACCATGTTACTAATTTAAGAACTGCAACGATTCACTGAACAACTGTGGCAAGAAAGGTGGGAGAAAATTCACTTAACGACACTTAGCAACAGAAATTTTGCGCTGAATTGTGGTCGTAAGTCGAGGATTACCTGTAGATGGAAAGAAACTTTCTTCCATCGTACTACTCTGAATTCAACAGATACTCAGTCGCTACTCACTCCTAACTCTATGTAAGTCTCGTTAAAAAAAAAAAAGTTTGGGAATATTTCATTAATCTTTCCCTTTTCTCTTGTCAATTCTCGAGCAGGTTTATACACAGCCAAGATAACATTCTTTAGGCTCACAATCATTAATCTTGTTTCTGGGCTGTTTTCCTGCTTTCTCAGCATAGTGGAAACAATATTCTCTCGGCTCTATGAAATATAAAAGCTATTTCCTTGTTATCGGTACCTATCAACTGAACTTAATCTTTGTTATTTCAATTATGGTGGTTTTTGTCCAAAGAAGCAGAAAGAGAAAAACGAGATGGAGGGACCGGAGGGGCGGAGGGGGGCAGGAGGGAGGGAAGGAATCGTTTTTTCTACGGTGACATTAAGAATTTCCCTCTGTGTGTCTCACTGTTTATATCAACTTAGTGAAGAAATGGTCAGTTTGCTGACACCCCTAATATTTGACTCTGGAGAATTAAAAGCACTGTTCAGTTCAGGTTGAAAATAGCTAGTATAATTTCTGCCTGTTTATTAATGCCTTATCACCTATTTGTTCTTCAAAAATTGATCTTTCATTCCGAAGAACTGTTTGATACAGCACCTATGCCTGCAGGTCCTAAGTAGAAGGACTCTGCATGGGAAAGAGAAATAGGATTCAGATTTTATGTTATCTGTATAGGACAGGGGTCAGCAATCTGCGGCTCTGGAGCTGCATGTGGCTCTTTCACCCCTCTGCTGCGGCTCCCTGTCACTCAAAATATGTGTCACAACCGCCAATGTGCAACACCCACCGGCATGTGATTCATTGAGTTTTTCAACTGCTGGTAGGCCAACTATGGATAAATCCACGAAAAGAAAAGTTTCAGAAGAAAACAGAACATTTAATTCAACTACATATGCTAGTTTGGTGGCCGCTCAAGAAATAGTCAGGCACGGGAAGGGTTTTGTGAAAATACTACAGATATTTCAACCTATTTATCTAGAGGCAAACGGCAATGTAGGAAAGCAGATTAATAGCACTCTTCTCTTCCATAGGGTCCTTGGTGGTCTCATTCTCCAACTGTGTAACATTATCAGTGCTGGAAGGAGTGGGGTTTGTGGAGAGACGACTGTGGGGTCCTTGGTGCTCTCTAGCTTGGTTGTTTTCTTGCGGACGTTTCATTACCCAACTAGGTAACATCATCAGTGCTACAAGCAGCTTCTAAGTACCGATGATGTTATCTAATTGAGTAATGAAACGTCTGCAAAAAAAAACAACCAAGCTCAGAGAGCATCAAGGGCCCTGCAGTTCAATTCTGAGTTACACATATTCTCTTCTCTTGATTCCCCTTCTTCTCTTCGTCCTGCTAATCACTCGTCTGGTTTCTCATTCAGGAAAGACAGATAAGACTGTGGACAACAATGAAAAAAAAAACAAGCAAGGCGTGGAAGTTAATCACACTTCCACCCTACTCTGTCTTGCTCAGATACTTCCTAAAGTCGGTTCTGGGCACCACTGTTCCAAAAGGACCGAGACAAATTGGATCAAGTTCAGATGAAGGCTACCAAGATGGAAACTGAGTCCAATGAGGAACAACGAAAGGATCTGGGTAGGAAAAGATAACTAAATGGAAATTATGGCTGCATATATCTGAAGAGTTTGATTGACCTTAATCTTCATTGTTTCAAAAGGCAGAACAATAATTAATGGATTAAAATTCCAAGGATGATGGTTCAGATTGGACTTCAGGAGGAACTTTCTGACTGTATGAGAACCTACATGAAGTGGTGAATTCTTTGCTGGAGGACTTCAAACAAAAGCTGTTTGAAGGTCGTCTTTGAAAGATGCTCTAGGAACCCTACATTTAGCATGGGTCTAGGACTTTTCGTCTCCGACTCTTCATTCTCCTCGGGCGTTTCTCCTCGGGCGATTCTCCCCCAACTTATCTCCTCCTTTTTCACAAAAGGTGTGGGACACAGTGGACGGTGGCCCATTCCCCAGGGCGAATGACTGGAGGCATGCCAGCTGAGGAGATAAGTCGGGGGAGAATCACCCGAGGAGAAATGCCAGAGGAGAATGAAGGGTTGGAGACGAATAGTCCCATTCCAACTTAGCATAGAGTTCAAGTAGATGATGTCCAAGATCCCTTTCAATTTTATGGCTCTAGACCTACTGTACATCTTGGTTCTGCTAAGTAGACCAATCACACCGTTAGCATCATTCGTAAACCGTCTGCCTATATGAGTTTATTAATAAGTAACTGTCGAAGGCAAGTCCTACCAGATGTCCCAACTTCCAAGTGATGATGTTCTATCTCTCCTTGTGACAATGATATGAGAGCTTGGAAATTGTACTTCTTCAATTTTTGGAAAACTACTTTTCTGAAATGCACTGTCCATCTTCTTTACACGATTCGTTAGACAGGTTTTTTTTTTAATATGAATAAAGCTGTATGCAAAACAATGTCCATAATTAAGAGACAAGCTTGGACCCATTATAGTCTTATGATTGACTAAGGACGTTTAATTTATTAACTGTAAATCTCTCCTCCTTCTATCTATAGATTAGAAAGGCACAGCAAATGGCTAGGGAACCCACAGCACTCAGTTGTGATATTAAATGTTTCTTATTAAAGCAGAATTTCACAAGATCTCTTTGTCTCAGCTAAGATGTAAAGCAGTTCCTTAAAAAGCCAGCCGTGATGCTTGAGACATAAATATAATAAAAGAAACCCAATAAAAAAGGCATTTATTTACTGAGAAATAATGACTTCTCAAATTACACCTGGGTTTATCATGATTATTTTTTTCATACACAATCCATGGGACTGCTAGTTTCTCTCTAAGCTCAAAGTACACTTCCTTTCCCCATCATGTAAATCTCAGTTTTATTAAAGAAAATATTCAATTAACCTCAAATATTCTACATACCCAAATCTAATTAGGCCTGAATAAGAAATGGAGTAAAGCTATAGTAAACACGCACATTCTGACTTCATTACTATTAGATTATTGGCTTTCTTGCCGACATTATGAAACACCAAAATTCATTAGGGCACTTTCTCCGGAATGATGTGTCTTTACAAGGAGAGCTGGCACAGAGGAAATATTAGATGACCAGTTATTTAAGTAATACCCTAGGAAAAGCAAAGCAACCTTGCTGGAAATGAGTTCTCGTCTGATCACTTCGTGGCAAAGGCAGAAATATTATTTCCCAAGAGAAGGTGCAGCTCGTTAGAAAACTGATTCGTAACATACCTGCATGCAAGAATCCTGGGTTGTATAAACAGAGGCAGAGAATCAAAACCACGTGAAGTTATTAGTAGCGCTTTATAAACCTATAATGAGACCACGCGTGGAAATACTGCATCCAGTTTTGGTCACCCCATTGCAAAAAAAAAAAAAAAAAAAAAAGATGTTGAGACTTTGGAAAAAGTGCCGAGAAGAGCAACTAAGATGATTAAAGGCTTAAGAGCAGCGGGGAAATCCCCCCCCCCCGTTCTATCCGGCTCGCCGAACTGGTAGCACCGGCGGTGGGAGGCTTGGGAGGGATTTGCTGGAATCCTGCATCCCGGTTTTGGTCCCCCCCCACATTACAAAAAAATGATGTTGAGACTTTGGAAAAAGTGCAGAGAAGAGCAACTAAGATGATTAAAGGCTTAAGAGCAGCGGGGAAAAATCCCCCCCCCCCGTTCTATCCGGCTCGCCGAACTGGTAGCACCGGCGGTGGGAGGCTCCGCCCACCTGCTGGGACGTCATTATGTCCCCTTTTTTTACCATCTGTGCGTGCACAGAAGGTTCTGCACATGCGCAGAAGAGGCATGTGCATGTATAGCACACACGTGCTCCCACGTGCTCCCGTTCCCGAACCGGTAGCGGAGGTGAGTGGATTTCACCACTGCTTAAGAGACTAAAACGTATGAGGAATGGTAGCAGGAATTGGGTATGGCTAGTCTAGAGAAAAGAAGGACTAGGGGGGACATGATAGCAGCATTCCAGTATTTGAGGGACTGCCATAAAGAAGAGGGGAGGGGGGGTCAATTTATTTTCCAATGCATCAGATGGCAAGAGATAAAGCAATGGATGGAAACTAATCAAGGAGAGAAGCAACCTGGAACTAAGGAAAAACTTCCTAACAGTGAGGACAATTAACCAGTGGAACAGCTTGCCACCAGGAGTTGTGGGTGCTTTCATCACTGGAGGTTTTTAAGAAGAGACTGGACAGTCACTTGTCTAAAATGGTACACGGTCTCCTGCTTCAGTATCCCCAGGGTCACACAATCAAAAACCAGATGATTGGCGACTGCTTCGTATTTATGACGGTCGCAGATGGTCATGTGACCCCTTTTGCGACCTTCTGACAAGCAACCCGATTCGCTTAACAACCGTGTTACTAACTTCACAACTGCAGTGACTCACATCATAACAACCATGGCGAGAATGGTTGCAAAGCTCACTTAATCAATGTCTCACTTAGCAACCTAAATTTGGGGCTCAATTGTGGTTGTAAGTTGAGGACTACCTATACTTGGTGTCATTTTTGGAGAAAGTTGATTGGCTACCAGGGAGGGGAGGATACTGGCCAAGATGAATAAAAATATATGTGTATGTGTGTGAGTGTGTAAAGCCTTAAATCAGAACTTTTCAATAAAATCTGTTACGGATGGAAGAAGAAGAAGAAGACGACGGGACATAAAAAACCAGCGATTTAAAAGCACAAAATGAAATAAATATTAAATGAATTCCTACCGTGGCTGTAGTTATAGAACACCCACTGCCTGCTTCTGGGTTTTGGAAGCGCCATCGGAGTTTCGGTTGTTTCGAAACTGGAGAATTTGGACTCTATGAAAAGCCGCTGGATCAGCACGTCCATCAAAATCTGGGGATCCGTCAGGCTGAGCGACACGATCTCGATGCGGATCCTTTCGGCAGTCTGCTGAAAGACAAACAACCATACCTTTGCTGCTGGTAACGCAACATCGTCTCATGGAGCTTGGCCCACGTTGCGCGGGGGAATTCGCTGGAGAAAGCAATTAGGTTTGGAAGAGCTAGCGGTGAAAGGAGGCCTTCAAAGGACGCGGTGGCTGGACACCCTCAAAGCTGACATCAGCCAGAGCATCCAAGAAGCAGTGCAAGATCGGAAGATGTGGAGAGACCTGGCCCGCAGAATTGCCAAGAGTCAGACCCAACTGAATGGACCACATCAATGGACCACAGAATTTCCAAGTCAGACACAACTGAATGGACCACATCAATGGACCACAAAATTTCCAAGTCAGACACAACTGAATGGACCACATCAATGGACCACAGAATTTCCAAGTCAGACACAACTGAATGGACCACATTAATGGACCACAAAATTTCCAAGTCAGACACAACTGAATGGACCACATCAATGGACCACAGAATTGCCAAGAGTCAGACACAACTGAATGGACCACATTAATGGACCACAGAATTTCCAAGTCAGACACAACTGAATGGACCACATCAATGGACCACAGAATTTCCAAGTCAGACACAACTGAATGGACCACATTAATGGACCACAAAATTTCCAAGTCAGACACAACTGAATGGACCACATCAATGGACCACAGAATTGCCAAGAGTCAGACACAACTGAATGGACCACATTAATGGACCACAAAATTTCCAAGTCAGACACAACTGAATGGACCACATCATGGACCACAGAATTGCCAAGAGTCAGACACAACTGAATGGACCACAAGCAGCCACATCACACAGAAGGCCTCGGGTGACAAAGCTGCAAAGGAGTCCTGATTTTGGGATTCCTACAATCTTTGCAAGCGGCAACACACTTATGTTTTATATCACATATAATAAATCATTCTTTTTTTCTTCCTCTTCTTTCATTATTACCTCCCTTGACGCTTCTTTCGGCCATTTGGATTGCTGAATGGTACACCCCCTAAACATGAAACCAACGTCTGTCTGGGGGAAACTACTCTCTGGTGTAACCACCACACCGTCCACCCTACAAAGCACATCTTCTCGGAGTAGCGTGTAACATGATTGCCCTTGAAACTGCTAGCTTTTCTGGGTGTAGTAAAATCACCATCTTTAATACATGAGTGTGCATTTACAAGATGTCTTCATTTTTTTTTTTTTTTGAGGTCTTGAAATCTTTGATGGGGCCAAAAATGTGTGTGTTGATTGCACTTCCCACTTAACGTGTATCGCTCACAATAACGCAGTCCACAAGGTGGAAGGCGCTCCATGTTAAAATATTAAAAGACAAGCACACAATGAAATCTCCTGCATTAAGTCGGTTGGTTTCAAAAGAACGCACAACCTCCCCGGTTTCAAAATGAGGTTAGGCTGAAGAACACTTGAAGGGCGAAATTTGTCTCTTGGAGAAAGAAACTGAACACCTGGGAGGTTCTCACCTGTCAAATTCTCCCCAACTCTCTCTTGACGGTTCCTGTTTTGACTTGAAAGTCAAATTTCTCCCCTCTGGATTCTGAAGACTTCTCGGTTATAAACCTCCATCACTCACCTTGCACGAATACTCGTCAAATTAAACAATGATTATTATTTTTTTTAAAAAAAACCCCAACCAGAATGGTTTGGGGTGGTTTATCTTCAAACCAAACATTCATGCAATGGTTTCAAGTGAGACATCGCACCTGACATTTTTCAGAAGAATATTCTGTAATTAAGCCGTCGAAAATCACCCCAGGATTTCCCCGGTAAATAAATATATATCCTTCCCACTGAACAATATCCTTGCTGTCAACCTCCTTCAATATTGGATGAAGCTACATGACTCTCACTGTTTTCAAAAGGCATTTTCTTTTATTATGTATCCTAAGACACCTTTAACTAAAAAACCCGAATCTGAATATTTCAATAAGATTTGTTTTATTATTCAGTAGATTCATGGAAATTTTACCGGGATGACAGCAAATATTCCACACCGTTCTGTCTCCGCTAATGCAGGTAACACAGCTTCAGCTGGCAATATTACCAGGATTAGCATAGCGTGATGAAATATTTAAAGGAATTTTCTTTTCGTAAAAACCTAATAAATCAAATGACTGCCAAATGTCATTAAAGTGATGGTCTTTTGACTTGAATATGCTTTTCATATTCAAATTTCGAAAAGAGACGAAGGCACGGAAAGGTTACTCAGTTTCAACTAATAACCTCCAGCACCCTGCATTCACATGCATAAAAAATGAAATTGCTTCCATTGTCTAATTTCGCTTTAGGAACGGCGTCTTTTTGCCTCCCGTCGCATGTATATATAAGAAGCATTTTTAAGTGAAATTCAGAGCAATTCCCGGCCGAATGCTTAACCCGCCTGTCAAAAGCTGCTCGGGTTTACAAATACCGTCCAAACGTAAACAAATATATGTAGTAGCAGGACGCAACGCCTATTTTTTAAAAAAGGAAAAAAGAAGGACCATCTGCCATCTTGATTTTTTGAGGTTGGTGAATGGCAACCAGTCCCTGCCAAACCTCATCCATTATAATTGCACTCAATCTTGGCATACATATTTGTTTTTGAGGGGAAAAAAATGTTTATTTTACTTATTTATTTGTATTCCGCCTTTATTGTTTTTACAAATAACTCCAGGTGAACAAACTATCCAACACACGTTCCTCTTCCTATTTTCCCAACAACAACAACAACAACAAGTTTGTGAGGTGGGCTGAGCTGAGAGTGAATGGCCAGGGTCACCCAGCCGGCTTTCCTGCCTAAGCCAAGACTAGAACTCACGGGCTCCTGGCGATTGGCCTGAAGTTACCTAGCTGGCTTTTATGCTAACTGAGACTAGAACTCATGGGCTCCTGGTGACTGGCCCAAAGTTACCTAGTTGGCTTTCATGCTAACTGGGACTAGAACTCACAGGCTCCTGGTGATTGGCCTGAAGTTACCCAACCGGTTTTCATGCTAATCTGGGACTGGAACTCACCGTCACCTGGTGATTGGCTTGAAGTTACCTAGCTGGCTTTTATGCTAACTGAGACTAGAACTCACAGGCTCCTGGTGATTGGCCTGAAGTTACCCAGCCGGCTTTCATGCTAATCTGGGACTGGAACTCATCATCTCCTGGTTTCTAGCGGTGCCTTAAATAAACTGACACTCTACATATCATTATTATGTCTGTATTTCATAATTTCCCTACCTGCCACATTAAAGAACACAACCAAAGAGTAACTTAGAATAGTCTGAGCACAAGCAAAGGTTGGCTGGACCACAAGCACATTTGGTGCCCCAATTCCAGACATTGACCTCTGATCTAAAGAACTCAATTTCTTTCTTTCACTGGCACAATATTACCTTGATTTGAGCTGATTGGGTCAACTGTACTACTAAGACGTTACAAAGAGTGGCTTTGTGGCGAGACGGGTGGCAAATAAATTTAATAAAGAATAACAATACATGATAAGTAATTTTGACGTCCACGGCAAGCCAGGCATTTGTTAAAAGGATTTTAAAAAAGAGCCTTTGAATAATAAAAAATATCTCATGCACCTACCACTTCCTTTCCTTTTAGCGTGCCTATATCTTAATAATACTCCTTTGCTGTGACCCGACGCCGATATGCCTATTCTTAAGACAAAGAAAATCATGGAAAGAAGAACATGTTATTTTTTTTTCTCACCGTAAAATAATGAAGGGGAAAAAAGAAGAGCCTGATCATTCAGGCATTCCTCTTTGAAAGAATCAGACAAGGAGCAGAATTTCAACATTTGTTATAATAACGGACTTAGTTGTCAATAAAAAACCCCCCAAAAAGCCTGGTTGGTGGACCTGGCAGTACCTGGAGACAGAAGAGGAGAAGGGAAAGAACTGGAGAAGATAACAAAATACAAAGACCTACCAATAGAAATAGAACGACTGTGGCAAAGGCAAGCAAGAGTAGTACCAATAGTCATAGGCGCCTTGGGTGCAATCCCAAAATAAATTGAAGCATCACTTGAACCCCATCGGCATTGACAAATTCACCATCAGTCAATTGCAAAAAGGCAGCTTTACTCAGAACAGCTTACATCCTGAGATGACATTTCTAACTCCATCACATCTGCCTATCCCAGGTGCCTGGGAAAGTGGACAAAAATGCCAAAACTGGCCTGAACATCTGGCTCAGTGAACCCAATAATAAACCATTATTGGCTTCCCTTCTTCAGTGATCTTAATCTCCCACCTATAGCCTAAGCCCCAGATGCATCAATAAAAGCTTTTCAATTCCCCGATCCTCGAATTTTACTTGCTGTACCATTAAAAAAGGAAAAAAATTCCCACATTTTTTTTTTGAATTTATATACAAATTTATATGTTCCTCTATAGCAGAGATACATCCACCTGGATTTTTGAAGCTGTTTTTTTTTTTAAAAAAACACCCCGCTGGATATCAACATTAATTATGAACTTTAAAAACCTCGTTTAAAGAAAATGATGACAGTTTTCACTAAAATGGTATTAGTGCAAAAAAGAAAAAGAAAAAAAAGAGAGAGAGAGACTCTCTATAATGAAGGAGAAAAGATGTAAACACACCTAGGAGGAAAATGAGGCCACCGCAGAATAAATTGGTTTTACTAAGCCTTGCCCCGCGGGCACATTTGAAGATAACTTGAGAGCTGACAGCAAGTAAAATTTTATTGTGATAATTGAAAGCTATATTGTTCTCAAATAATCAAGTGAAGATGTGGAGAGATGAGAACAAGCATTGTTTAATTTTATTGCGGCGGTGTTTTTAGCTTTTCCGAACGCCCGTGCAAATTCTCAACTCCCAACGCCCAGCTCGGGAGCCTGTAACAAGCCTTTTAATCAATGTATTATACATCAAATTGATAATGCTAACTTCTGATTATATTCACACGTATGAAATATTCATAAAGAACTGTCCAAAGTTTTACATTTTTCTGATTTCTCCCCCCCCTTCCCCGACCCCCTTCTTCCATTAATTATCATGCCTAGAAGCTCTCTCTTTCTTTCTTTCTTTTTTTTTTTTAAGCGAAAACACCAGTCGTCAGCTTGAATCAACCTGACAAGCTAGCAAGAGCCAATTACATTGGCACTCGCTGGTGCTTTGATGTAGTGGAAACGCAGAGAGATAGGGGGCAAATTGTGTAGCACATTATGTTAATGACATGATTTAATCCAGCCACTAAACTTTATGTAGCCTGCTAGAAAAAAGATGCTAACACTAATTACGCCACTTTGGAAAAGAAAAAGAAGGGGACAAGCGTTTCGCTACTGACGAAGTGGAGCTCATAAATGTTGTAAACGAAATGAAATAATCTACGATTAATTATACATAACGGACCAAAAAAAAAGAGATAGTGGGGTGGGGGGGAAGAGGAAGAAAGAGAGCGATTATAAAGCTAAATTCTCTAGGAAAACACTTAGATCAGCCGATCTAAGAAATAATGCCGACAAACTAATTTGTAACTTATTTTTTTTAAAAAAAGGGAAGGCGTAATTGTCAATGACACAAACAATGGGGTGTGTTATTTGAGATTCACGAGATAATTAGCAGGAGAATCTTCCAATATGTTTAGGGTTTAGTCATGTATTTTTTCTTTTCAGCACTCTTGATAACTAGGACTTAGGAGCATCCATTAGATTGGAGCAAATTATTACTGAATTTAAGTGGATGCTGAAATCCAAGCTGAGTTTAGCAGAAGCTGACAAAATGTAAAATCTGAAACTTTCCAAAGCTTGGTAGCAATTCCCTGGAAATAAAACTCAGGCATTCTGCTTGCAAAAGGGACGCGGTGGCTCAGTGGCTAAGACGCTGAGCTTTGTTGATCGAAAGTTCGGCAGTTCAGCGGTTCGAATCCCTTGTGCCGCGTAACGGGGAGAGCTCCCGTTACTTGTCCCAGCTTCTGCCAACCTAGCAGTTCGAAAGCACGAAAAAAATGCAAGTAGAAAAATAGGGACCACCATTGGTGGGAAGGTAACAGCGTTCTGTGCGCCTTTGGCGTTGAGTCATGCCGGCCACATGACCACGGAGATGTCTTCGGACAGCACTGGCTCTTCAGCTTAAGTAAGTAAGTAAATATTTCTTGGTGCTGAGCTAATACCTACAACCCGAACATTAGCATTCCAGTTTGTAAAAAGCACTGTTGCATTGGAGTTATTAAGACAGAAGCTTTTCCTTGCCTCATCGTGCAGTTCTCTTAATTCAGCTTCTCGCTCCGTTGAGCCTGAGTTAAGAAGACTTAAATCTGATTGATTTCAAACGGAGCTCCGGAGCCCGTTTTTCATATTGACACACTAAAATCAATGGGATTTAGAAGTGGTTAACTTGGGCTGGATTATTCTCGCTAATCTGAGGCAAGTCCCGCCTGAGTTAAGGGGATTTTACCTTCCTGTAAGGCAGCCTTTCTTCCACTAGTTGCTTAAATATCCAGGTATTTTTTTTTCTTCCTAGCCGTATCTTATCCTCCTTGGTTGCAAAAAAGAGAGAAACCATTAATTTAACACCTCTGTCTACACCGGTTTGCCCCGACACTGAAGCAAGTCAAATGCAGGCAGTCCTCGACTTACAACAATTCATTCAGCGACCGCTCGAAGTTACGATGGCACTGAAAACAAAGTGACTTAGGACCATTTCCCACACTTAACGACGGTTGCAGCATTTCCATGGTCATGTGATCCAAATTCAGATGCTGCTTGGCAACCGACTCATGCTGATGACAGGTGGAGTGTCCCGGGGTCATGTGATTCCCCTTTTGCGACCTTCGGCCAAGCCGAGTCAACAGGGAAGCCACATTCACTCGACAGCCATGTTACTCATTTAACGACCGGAGCGCTTCAGTTAACCAATGTGGCAAGAAAAGTCGTAAAGCGAGGCAAAACTCACTTTACAGATTTCTCACTTGGCAACCAAAAGGTTGGGCTCAATTGAGGCTGTTAAGTCAAGGACTACCTGTTTTTTTATTTTATCATCAGGCTGCTACTCTGGGCTCTTTGAAAGACTAAGATATTTCAGGCCAGGTTACGGAATTAGTTAACTAACTAGGATCACACAATCCTGAATAACGGAAGGTCTGTATTAATGTTAAACGTGCATTAATAAAATATATTTGATAAGCTTTTATTTTTTTATTTTTTTATTTTTAATTTGATTTATATGCCGCCCTTCTCCGGAGACTCAGGGCGGCTTACAGTGCGTTAAGCAATAGCCTTCATACTTTTGTATATTTATACAAAGTCAGCTTATTGCCCCCACAAACTGGGTCCTCATTTCACCTACCTTAGAAAGGATGGAAGGCTGAGTCAACCTTGAGCCTTGGAGAGATTCGAACCAGCAGAAATTGCAGGCAGCTGTGTTAATAACAGGGTGCTCAGACCACTGTACTATCAAGGGTAAAAGGTTATCCAATACATACAATCCTCCAACCAATAAAGGAATTAGATAATGGCTTAAGAGGTTGTGTCTCACAAAATACAAAACCAAAGGCTAGGTCCCTGCAACACTCTGACCCACACTGCCCAATCCTTTTAGTGTCTAGACCAGGGATGTCCAATCTTGGCAAGTTTAAGACTTGTGGACTTCAACTCCCAGAATTTCCCAGCCAGCATGGAGTTGAAGTCCATAAAGTCTTAAAGATGCCAAGGTTGGATACTCTTGGTCTACTCTAGACTGATGGTTTATGTGACCCCGGATCCAAGTCTCCAAACATCAACCTCAAAAATCCTCAACAACGAAATTGCGGTTTCAAAGATGGATTCAGAAGACGAAGGCAAGTCAACAGAGACTTCTCCAACCAAAACCACATTAGGAAAGACAAGGGTCTAAGAATGCTTTGAGAACGTTTGAGAAGGAGGACTTCTTTTTTTCTTGGTTGGTTCTGACTAACCTGGTTAACAGTTGAGGACGCTGAACTTGGAACCACGCAGTCATCACTATCGGTGACCGATTCGGCGGCGGCCTGTTGGTCTTCTTGTTCTGTAGCAAAAAAAAAGGAAAAGATTAGCCAAGATAAGAAGAGTTGAGATTATAAAAGAAAAGTACGAGCATCAGAAGAGGAAAGCGAAACGTTACGGTTCCAAGCAACAATGGACCACGGCTTTTCCAGGCAGACAAAACACACATCCTTGGGCCATCTAAAGGATGTTAAATTGTTTCGGAGTCTCTACATTTGATTTTTAGAGATGCTTTGATCTACTAGGGGGAGACATGAGACCAGTCCTCCAATATTTGAGGGGCTGAGACAAAGAATGGAGGGTCGACCTGTTCTCCAAAGCACCTGAGGGCAAAACAAGAAGTAACGGATGGAAGCTCATCAAAGAGAGATCCAGCCTAGAATTGAGGAGAAATTTCCTGACAGTGAGAATCAGTGGAATGCCTCTGGAAGTTGTGAGTGCTCCATCACTTGGAAGTTTTCAAGAAGAAGCTGGATAGTCATTGGTCAGGCATGTTATAACGTCAATCTGAGGGATTGGACCAGAAGACCTCCATAGTCCCTTCTAACTCCGTTATTCGGTATACTCAAGATCACCACTTCATTCCCAATAAAATAAAGTTTTCAGAGTATAAGACACTCCGGAGTATAAGACACACCTTAGTTTTGGGGGAGGAAAATAAGAAAAAAAAACATTCTGCCTCTGCCTACTAGCATCCATCGGTATTCATCTGGCTAGTGTCCTGTCAGTGTGTGAGACTGTTTGGAAACTAAAAGAGTATTTGCTGTGTGAGCAACAAGGAAGGAGACAGCAAGGAGCCTGGGCGTGGCTTAGGTCAAGTGTTCTAAAGCTGCATGCTGTGCTGATCCCTAAAACTAAAATTGAAACTGAAACTCCTCTCCTCTGCTTGTGTTTTGCTTGCTGCTGCAAACTCTTACAGTCCTTGCAGCAAATAGCGAACAGCCAGGTCAGCTTCAGCACATTATTGCAGCCCGATTCAGCATGAGCAGCTGATTGGCAGGTGGATCGGCCTCCGGAATACCCCCAATCAGCTGTTCCAGGCTGCAGGGATTGCCATAGACCATCACCTCCTCCGTGCCTTGCGTTTTTGGCTACATTCGGTGTATAAGACGCGCCCAAATTTTCACCTTCTTTTAGGTGGGGAAAAAGTGCATCTTATACTCCAAAAAATATGGTAAATAAATAAACCCAAACCACCCACCCACTTCTCTTGAGATTCAGTACGGACCACTAATCTATGTGGACGGGTTCTAGAGGTATTCAGAGAGTAGTCAGAAACTGTGGGACCTTCCACAAGCTGGATGGAACAGCCCACCGGTTCCCACAGCGAGATCGGCTTGTAATCTTCGACTGCTGCCTTTCCCATGGTGACTTTGGCAGGGCCTTGGTCAAAAGGATTCTTTTCTGGCTTGTCAGAAGCCTGTTTTCACATACATTCCCATTCTGCTGGGAATTGGTTGTATTGTAGCTTTGGGTCTGATTTGCAGTCGTAATAATGATGGATGGCTTCACTGCCAGAGGAATTAATGATGGGTTGACACTCCAAGGAGAGGCAATTAGAATGACGTAAATAGCTTAATGGATAGTCATCCGAAGGAACGTTTTGCTATTCTGTGTCTTCTCCTGGAGGAACACTGGAGTAATTTATGGCCCAAAACCAGCCCGCCAAAGCGGTGAAAATGGTTGGCAACGCTGGGTTGTCTTCCCTTTCACAGCAGTTGCGTTATAAAAAAATGACTCCCCGAAGAGTCGTCATTTCTCTCGCATTTGAGGGAAAGAAAAAGAGCTTTTGGGGTAAAATGTTAGCAAGGCAGCCAATTCTGGTGAGGTGGAGAATACAGGCGACTGGGGCTCGTTCACTGAAGTATAACTTATTGGATTTCTTTTGAGCTTGATCTCTTGACAAGAGAAGAAAATATGAAATGGCTTGATCAAAGCAATGGCGGGGGCCGTACCTGTGCTGGCCAATTCACATTCTGTGTCTAAAGAGAGGGTTTGTGTTGTGGCTTGTCGACCGCCGGCCCCTCCAGCAGCTGAATCAGAGGAGGAGGAGGAGGAGGAGGTGTGGGAGTCAGGGTCAGCATCAAGGCAACCTGGGAGCTCTGAGGGGGAAGAGGGGATGGAGCTGTCAGAGATAGAGACAGAGGCGGAACCTGGGCCGTCTGTCAGCCCTCAAAAGGGGAGTCAACAGCCCCCAGGTCTGGAAGTGGCTGATGAGGAAGAGGAGGAACAGCTGGGTCCAGTGCCTGACGCACGGATGCGCAGAAGGCAGAGGAGAGGAGAGCAGTGGAGATCTATGGGCAGGTCCTTGGGACGGAAGAACCACCGCTGCTAACAAGGCTCCGGCCTAGCTCTGGGGATAAAAGGCAGGGGACAGAGATGAATAGATGTGGCAGACAACTATTCATCTTCCGGACGGAAGGACGTGTCAGCTTGCGGTGAGAGGTAAACTTTTTGCCGGGGCTGCTGGCGCTCCTAATAAAGGAATCTTTTGAGTTCACTTCAGAGGGTTTGTTGTGTTTGGGGAGAGAACAGTATGGTTATTTAAAATAGTCACAAAGGTGCTTTTTCATGAGGCAACTGGACTTTCTTCACTCTTCCTTGAAGACGTTTTGCTTCTCATCCAAGGAGCTTCTTTAGTTCAGCTGCCTCTTGAAAAGGCACCTTGGGATCACAACCATGACTCAGATGACTGAGAATCTTCACAGGCAGTTATCTAAGATACTTATACAGGTCGTCCTCGACTTACAACAGTTTGTTTAGTGACCGTTCGAAGTTACAGTGGCACTGAAAAAAGCGTGCCTTATGACCGTTTTTCACACTTACGACCGTTGCACCATCCCCATGGTCACATGGTCAAAATTCAGACGCTTGGCAACTGGCTCACATTTATGACGGTTGCAGCGCCCCGGGGATCACGTGATTCCCTATCGCAACCTTCTGACAAGCCAAGTCAACAGGGGAAGCCAGCTTCACTGGACAACTAACAACGGTGCGACTAACTTAAACAACTGCAGTGATTCACTTAACGGCTGCGTCAAGAAAGGTCATAAAATGGGGCCAAAGCCACTGTCACGCTTTGCAACAGAAATTTTGGGCTCAATTATGGTCGTAAATCGAGGATCTACCTGTACACAGTGTAGGGCCAAGCCTATGCACCAAGATACAGAAAAAAAAAGGGGGGGGGGAATTTCAGGTCGAAACAGAAACAATCCACAGATGCGGAATTGTTCTGCTAGATCTCTACCTTCTGTGTCCACTTCCTCGATTTCCGTTTCATCTTCTGAAGTCCCTGAACTCTGGGCAGCAAATTGACCATCAGAGAGCTGCGAGAGGTCCTCAGGTTCTTGTTGAATCTGGGTTGCGGGTTTGCTTGGTCTGCTGTCAGCATCTGTGTCTTGTAGAGCCTTTCTCATAGGATCACAAGAATGAATATATATATAAATTCATCGAAGGAACCGAGATTTTGATAGATTAGAATTTAGAGCTGGTTTTACGAACGAAAAAAGGACCGGGGTTAATCGGCAGTGGAAAAATGTTGCTTTATGGGGTTGTATTTTCAGAACGCTCCAGTTGACAAATAAGATGTTTGTACCTCAATCATTTTTAGAATTAAGTAAAAGTTAAAGAATGAAAACACCACATGAAGCAAGACACTCAAAATTATTTTTCTATACCCAAAGGAGAAAACGCAGAGTTTCTTACAATCTCATCAACAGCAGACAAATCTGGCTGTAAGACCAAATCAAAACCATTTTCTTTTTAATTTTTTTTTTTTTTTAAATCCAGATTACTGAATCAGTGACATGTACCATCAACTAATGCTTTTGATGCAACATATCTAATGGAAATACAATGTGTTTTTGTTTCAACAAAACTTGATTAAATGGAACTGCTTCATACCTGTGGACGATTTAAAAGTGCGGGCTTTTCATCTTTGGCGTTCTGCAAAATCATTTTATCTTCTTTTTCAGGAATGGGACTCTATGTTAGAATTAAAGCACAGGGACACTTATTAAGACATTTGTAAAATGGACTGAAAGGTTTTGAAGGGTGCTAATTGATGAAAAAAAAAACCCTTTGGCCTGCAACTTCTCTGGCTCCTGGGTCCATAGTAAAGGTAAAGGTGATAGAATAGTGTACCCAGAACTTCTGGCAATCATACCTAGACTAAATTTCTAAGGAAGAAAAATCGTTTAAATTAATAATTGTAAATTATTTTAAAAAAAACAATATTGCTTGGCAGAGAGTTGGAATGAAATTGAGCTTCTATGGGGTGGTTTGTTCCAGAACTTTAACTCCCTTCTCATCTACTTCTGGTTCCTTAACAACGATAAAAGAAAACCAAACTCCCTACTGAGGTAAAATAAATTGTATGAAGACAATGGCTGCATTTTAAATTCACACAGTCAGGAGAAGCTATCTCAAAACAAAGACAGGCAATGGAAACCTTTATACTCACTGAATTTGGCAACGGGTCCATATCTACAAAAGAGACTTTTTTGTCCACTGCGGCTGAGCGCTGTCTTGGCTTAGGCTGCGGTCTCTAAAAAATGAAAAGCGAAAATATCTTGCATCAAAGTACAATCTCCCAAATCCAGTTAAGAACATGATTTCCCTGATTCATCATGGGGAATCATCATTCTGTAATTGCTAAGATGGCCACTCCCAATTTAAAAGAGAAAGTAAGGGATAAGTGAATGAGGGACAAGGAAATCTTCGTGCAATCTAGAAGACCGTTTCCTAATTAGGTCCTCTCTGTGCATTGTGTGGTCTAGAACAGTGGTTCTTAGCCTGTGGTCCGTGGACCCCTAGAGATGCGATGACATCGCGTACCACATCTCTATTAAATCTCCATCTCCATTAAGATGGAGGTAGTGACCGATTTTATTTTCCTGGGCTCCAAGATCACCGTAAATGGGGACTGCAGCCAAGACACTTGCTCCTGGGGAGGAAAGCTATAGCAAAGTTAGACAGCGTACTAAAAAGCAGAGACATCATCCTGCCAACAGAAGTGCGTATAGTCAAGACTATGGTTTTCCCAGTTGCAATGGATGGCTGTGAAAGTTGGACCCCAAGGAAGGCTGAGTGTCAAAGTACTGAGACCTTTGAACTCTGGTGCTGGAGAAGACTCCTGTGAGTCCCTTGGACTGCAAGGCGATCAAACCGGTCAGTCCTAGAGATCAACCCTGGCTACTCTTTAGAAGGCCAGATCCTGAAGATGAAACTCAGATGCTTTGGCCACCTAATGAGAAGGAAGGACTCACTGGAGAAGAGCCTCATGCTGGGAAAGATTGAGGGCAAAAGAAGAAGGGAACGACAGAGAACAAGGTGGTTGGATGGAGTCACTGAAGCAGTCGGCGTCAGCTTAAATGGACTCCAGAGGATGGTAGATGACAGGAAGGCCTGGAGGAAAGTTGTCCATGGGGTCATGATGGGTCGGACATGACTTCACAACTAACAACAACAACTCCATTAAATCTTGAGTTAAGTCTTGGTGGTCCTTGGCTATGATCTGTGACCACAAAAGATACTCCAAGGGGGTGAAGAAAAGGTAGAGAGACACTGGTCTAGAAGACCCATCGGTCACATTTATATGGAGGGGGCAGCTTGTTAAGACAGCTCTGGACTATGAGTAAAAGCTGAATACCATCACTGATGAGAAAGATGGAGGTAGAGGTGGACCTTCTCCTTGACCCTTCACTGGTTTCTCGTTCTGGATGTAATCCGTGAGGTTTGGGGCTACAATGGAGCTGGCCGGCTGAAGGTAAGTCAGCTTCCATTTCAGTTCAATGTTCACTGTCCCAGCGGGACAACCTTCAGGATCGGTTAATTCAAAGGTCCCTGAAAAATCAAAGGCAGACGTGAGGGCATTGCATTCCTCGTCCTAATATTTGGGTTCCAGAAGCTGACAAAACAGATTCCGCGATTGTGCTCGGAATCAATCAAAATGAGCCTTTGCTCATTTTGATACTCTGCAATCCAGCAGAATGCAATGCTAATCTCATGCTAATCTAGGTTCACATAGAAAGCAATCACGGGGCTCGTTTTGCTAAGGTTTGATTCAGCAGGTGTTGATACGATAAACATATGGATTATTGTAATGGGTATTTACCATTTTTAGTTTTTTAAAAAAATCCTGGCATGGTGTTATGTACGAATCCAATCTATAAGTTTACGTAATACCTAATAGGAGATGAAATAGCATGGTGAACGACCAGTTTCATTAAAATATCACCCAGATTTATTTTAAAAAGTATTTCCGATTAATCTTTCATCTTGGAAAGGCTTTTTGCGCCATAAAACATGAACCATTTTAAAACAGGACAAGCTTATGAGAGGTTCTTGGTGTCGTGTCTGAGCTTAGACTATCACTGATAATGCTACTTAGTTGGGTAATGAAACGTCTGCAAGAAAACAACCAAGCTCAGAGAGCACCAAGCACCCCACTGTCCTCCTCCTCCTCTCTGCAAACCCCACTCCCTTCTAGCACTGATGATGTTACCTAGTTGGGTAATGAAACGTCTGCGAGAAAACCACCCAACTCAGAGAGCACCAAGGACCGTTCATTTCAACCCTGAGCTACAAATATTCTCCTTTATTAGGACAAGTTCAAGAACAAACCGCAACGCTTATGATCTGGCTGAGCAAAGGCTCAGGATCTTTACCTGAAACGGATTTACCATGGGCCAATGAAATTAAAGGAACGTGTGCTTTTCCGACGTAAACCCCATCTTCTGTTTCCCCGTCATCAAAGACGTAGAAATTCAAAAATTCGGATTTCAGATAACGGTCGAGATCCGCATTCATCGGCACCGGGAAGCTCGCGTGATCATCAAACCGAGGGTGGTTGCTGCTGGGAATGATGGCGGTATCGTGATCGGCAAAGTCGAAGAACTTGTAGACCACGTAAGGACTCGGCTGGAGATTGGTCTTTCGGCCGGGCAAATCGTTACAACTTTTTACGATAATGTGGAGCTCATTTAAGTTCCCATCAATTGAAGGGCTGCCTTGGACAGGATTGAGCGCTGGCTGTTTTAATAAGAAGGAAGGGAGGAAGGGAGGGGGGAAAAAAAGATGAATCAATGTTTTTTTGTTTTTGTTTTTATTTTTAAACTGCAAAGGGGAACATCTACCAGTAGGCTAAATTAGCATCTAACCTCTGACATAGCTTGTAATAATCATAAAGACCACCCCAGTACAAAAGTACAAAAGGGGTGGAATCCAATTTTTTTCCCCTACCGGTTCTGTGGGCGTGGCAGGGGAAGGATATTGCAAAATCTCCATTTTCACCCCACTCCAGGGAAAGGATACTGCAAAATCTCCATTCCCACCCCACTCTGGGGCCAGCCAGAGGTGGTATTTGCCGGTTCTCCAAACTACTCAAAATTTCCGCTACCGGTTCTCCAGAACCTGTTAGAATCTGCTGAATTTCACCTCTGCTTTTGTTTTATTTCTTATGTATAATGTACACTGAAGATGGCATTTAATTTCATTGTAAGAGGTGAAATGACAATAAAGTAAGCTAACTAACTACAGTCATTCTTTGTGCAGCTGGAAGGAGGACCCACACATAAGGATTGCCACCATGGTAGAACAGGACCTGAAAAAAACAGTGAATTGTGAAATCGAAACAAAACAACATGCTTTGGTGATTCCGACATCAATAGGTAGAGGAAGACAAGTATGTTTGAGACAACCAGAATAATACAATTAAAAAAACAAAACAAAACTTGAAACTTGCCTGTTCCTTTAGATTTGCTGCGATATAGCCAAGGGCTTTTGCACGTTCTTTGTACAGCCTCATGGCTTGGTCCATGGGAACTCTTAACCTGACCCAATATTCCACGGTGCCGTAATTCTGGATTTCTCTGCCAACGCCTACAAGTCAAAGTTCACGCACGTTTTGCAAGGTCAAAAATTTCAGGCTAAAAAGATCATGGAGGTTATTTGCAATCATTGCGAAGACAACGCGGAATCCAGATTTATTGAGGTTTTAACGATTTCAACCGAACCGTTCTCTCTAAGGGTAAGATGATCAGTCTCTAAACACGGGGACTAGTGCCGCATAACGGGGTAAGCCCCCATTATTTGTCCCAGCTTCTGCCAACCTAGCAGTTCGAAAGCACGTAAAAAATGCAAGTAGAAAAATAGGGACCCCCTTTGGTGGGAAGGTAACAGTGTTCTGTGTGCCTTTGGTGTTTAGTCATGCCGGCCACATGACCACGGAGACATCTTTGGATAGTGCTGATTCTTCAGCTTTGAAACAGAGATGAGCACTGCCCCCTAGAGTCAGGAACGACTAGGACATATGTCCGAGAGGAACCTTTACCTTTACTAATAATGTTATTTCAATCTAAAAGAAACATGGGCTTTAAGTAGACCATAATTATGCAGACTACAATGGCAATTTCATATTGCCATGGCATTATTGAAATAAGACCTGGCTTGTACAGGAAATAATCCAATATAAATATGGAGGCATTCATAATTAACAAATAACTATTACCCTTTTACTCCAACTTCTTCTAGTTTGTTGTACGCTAACCTCCCCCTACCAATCTTAATGATAACAGCACGGAATTGATTTAGCTACTTAATATGTGTCAACAATAACACCGTTTTTCCCTAGTTATATCAAAAGAAGGGCTGTTTTTTTTTTCATGTGAACACAAGCTGGTAAACACGCATTTATAAATGCATGATCAGTTAAGTGACACTAATTCATGGATTAGCTTCGCTGAAATCCGCATAACTTAATCATGAGTACAAGTGCACAGGATGGCAATATTGTGTCTTCCTCTTCTAATTTAAGAAATCAGTCATTCGCCAAAAATCACCAGATGGATTTAGCCTGCCTCGACTTAATGTTTCCTAACTGTGTTGGACAGAAAACCCCAGAAATTACCGTAAGTAACATAACTTTTTAAAAAATTAACCCCATGCTTTTGGAGAGTGATAGTTGGAACACAGTGATCTAAGTAATCATAGATGCTGGGTTGCTAAAGATATAATATTCATTTTTAAACAGAGTTACCAAACAGGGGTGAAATGCTACCGGTTTGGTCTGGTTCGCCTGAACTGGTAGTAAAAGAAATGCTACTGATTCAGGCGAACCGGTATTTCCGATGATCAGCTGTGCCACGCAATTTATTTTCACTAGAAAGCAGGAAATTGTCGATCGAAAGGTCGGCAGTTCAGCGGTTCGAATCCCTAGTGCCGCGTAACGGGGTGAGCTCCTGTTACGTGTCTCAGCTTCTGTCAACCTAGCAGTTCGAAAGCACGTAAGAAATGCAAGTAGGAAAATAGGGATCACCTTTGGTGGGAAGGGAACAGTGTTCCGAAATCCTGCTTTCTAGCAAATCTAAATTGCACTGCACAGCTATTCCCCCCCTCCTCACTGTTCTACTTTTCTTAGAAAAGGCTTCTTAATCCTCCTTTTTCAGGGCTGCGTGGTAGTGCCTGCAATGCACATGCGTGCAAAGCGAGCATTTGGCGTGCACCACGCATGTGCGTGCGAAGCAAAACGGTAGCAGACTTCAGAGCATTTCACCGTTACCAAAGCAATCCAAAATGCAACTTCAACGCCAACAGGTGACACCTACCAATCAAGAGGGCGGAAGCGCAGACTCTGCCGTTTTTTTCCAGAATATCATGGAACCTGAGCTGGCAGGCAGCCGCCGTTTCGAAGTCTATGCCGTGAGCGAGATGGATTTCGAGAGCGGTGGCGCTTTTCTGCAAGTACTGCAAAAAGCCGTCGTCCACCCGCACGAGATACTGAGAGGTGAAATTATAGGCTGGGCTGAGCCCTTGAACGACCGGCGTGGTCTGTAATTCGAAATCGTAAAAGGCGTAGGTACAGAAGGTGGCGGGTTCTTGGTCGCCAAAAGATCTGGCCGCTTCTGGGGAAAACACAACCCGGCTGATGTGGATCTCGAAGAGGTTTTCGCCTCTTTCCAAATGAGCCGTTTCGTCAAAGTCATCCACAGGTTCATCGGCGATCATTTCTGGTCGAAATTTGTACTGTTTGGTCCCGTAAGCGATATCCTTCAGCTGGGCTGTTCAAGGCGAAAAATAGGAGGCGGACGTGAATGAATTGGGGCTGAGAGTTACATTTTTCCTTGCTGCTCCCTCAGAAATTGACAATTCTAAGCTTACATCCATAACACGCAGGGGTGCATTACATGTACATTAAAAAAAAAACCTAGAAATTTCATTCTGCAAGTAGAAATGAGAGTCTTCTGAATCAAGGAGAGAAGCAACCTAGAATTAAGGAGAAATTTCCTGACAGTGAGAACAATTAACCAGAGGAACTACTTGCCTCCAGAAGTTGTGGGTGCTCCAACTATGGAAGTTTTAAAGAAGAGATTGGACAACCATTTATCTAAAATGGTATCAGGTCTTCTGCTTGAGCAAGGGGTTGAACTAGAAGATCTCCAAAGTCCCTTCCAACTCTCTTTTTCCGTACTCTTGAATACTTTATTCTAGGTAGTCCTCAACTTACGACCACAATTGAGCCCAAAATTTCCACGGCTAAGCGAGGCAGTTCTTAAAAGAATTGGGCCTCATTTTACAACCGTTTTTTGCCATTGTTGTCAAGCAAACCATTGCAGTTGCTGAGTGAATTGTGGCGTTGTTAAGCAGATCTGACTTCCCCCATTGACCTTGCTTGAAAAATGGTCATAAGAAGTCACTTTTTTCAGTGCCGTTCGAATGGTCACTAAACCAATGGCTGTAAGTCAAGGACTACCTGTATTTCTTTCCACAAGCCTCGGTTTACGTCAATGGCACTCTCAGGTTTTTTTTTTTCAGCAAAACACAATCGAATGTGTGGCCAAGAGTGAATTCTTGAGCACACTAATCTCCTCATCTCCTTATCTATTCCCCCCCCCAGTGATTTTCTGCTGGAAAATCAGAATTCTGATATACCTTCTAATTTTCTAATACGGGCGGCTCTAACGTCGAGAAGGTGGACGTAGTGCTCCAGCTTTAACTCATAATCTTGCTGCGAAGCCTCCATTTTTTCTGTCACGGATTCAACTTCGGCCTGATGATGCAAGGAAACACAGAAGGTTAGGCCTACAATCAGGGGTGAAATACTCCCAGTTCAGACCGGATCGCCCGATCCGGTATCGATGGCGGCGGGTGGTTCGGAGAACCGGTAGCAAAAATCCCTGCCCCCCACCCCATGCCCGGCTGAGCCGCACAATCATCAAAGGCTTTTTAAAAAAATTTTAAAAGCATTTTTTCTACAACCGCTTTGGCCAAAAAAATGCTTTTAAAAATAAAAAAAAGCCTCTACCAATCAGGCAACTCCGCTGGGATCGTCAGAGGCTCTTAAAAGCATTTTTTTTTACAACCTAAAAAAATGCTTTTAAAAGCCTCTGACGATCCCGGCTGAGTTGCCTGATCGTCAAAGGCTTTTAAAAGTATTTTTTTAGAGGTTGTAGAAAAAATGGTTTTAAAAGTTAAAAAAAAAAAAAGTTGGCCACGCCCACCCAGTCACATTACCCCCACCACCACCAAGCCACGCCCACAGAACTGATAGTAACAAATTTTACATTTCACCACTGCGTACAATCCACGCTTTGCGCCAGAGTTCCCCCACGAATGTCTTTTCCCCCAATACGATACCATCATTTTTTTTCCCAAATTGCTGGGATTTATTTATTTAGTGATCAAATTTAGAAACAACCCCCCCCCCCCCCAATCTCTCTCACAGAGGGACTCTGGGTGACGTACCAATAAAATTACTGGTGAGGGACAGTTAGGCCAAATTTTTGACCTTCTCAAACCTCTTTGAGTATTAAATTGTATTCTGGGGGGGGGGGGTCTAATTGCGAGCAATAACCAATCCCCGATTCTGCACTGGGAAAAACACACGTTTCTAGGTGTCTCCTTTATGAATCAAATAATGTGAGATCAGCAAAATCTCGTAAGAGGCCACAGAGAAAAGCCAAATGCCACAGGTTCCATTTTTGGAGGAGGAGATGACGTTCCCTGAACTTTAGATTTATACCACTCCGAAATGAGAAAAAGTAAAGAAAACTCAAGCTCAGTGGAATGGAATTGGGAGAAAACTGTCTCTCCGTTATGTCACAAATTATCTTGTATTTATTGAGGAGGATGAAGACGAGAAGGGTAGCAAAAGCCTTCCTCCTTCATTCACTGAACTGGGAAATACGTCATGCAACATTCGATAAGACCTGGACAAGATTCGGTCCTGTAAATTCACAGGCCACCCTAGCACTGATGATGTTACCTAGCTGCAAGAAAACAAGGAAGCTCAGAGAAGTTGGAAATCCACGTGTAGGTTTTACTTCTTTGGGTTGGTGGCAGGATTAGGGAAATTCACTCTTTCTTTTGAAGAAACAGAAGGATACGAAGAATGTTATGACTGATGCCTGAATACTTTTCCAATAGAACCTGGCTTGGGAAAATTTTGACTTTTATGTTTGTCTGTACTATGCAATTTTAAGATTAAGCCATTTATCTCCAACACCAAACCTGACTTTTAAGATCCTTTATTTGCTGGGCTTCAGTAGACCCAAACATTTAATTTAATTAGGCCGGTGTCCTGGTCAGCAAATCACAGTATTTTATTTTATTTTTGGGGCATAGAAACTACGGGCTAAAAAAAACTGGGGAGGAGTCATGCCTGCTGGAATTAGACTATTAAATGAAAAGTTTATTTCAAGAGTGAAGTCTAGTAGAGTTCAGCTTATTAAGATTTGGTTAGTTACCACATAAAATATTGGATTCATTAATCTTCATCATGAGATTAAAAAAAAAACAGCAAGGCAAGCACAATGACAGAGATACTCCACGTTCAACTGCAGGGAGAAAATTAAAGTACCTGATAGTCCTTGTTAATTTTATGCTGCACAATTAACATATTGCGGGTCTTTTCGAGTTCTTGAACAGTTTCTGCATGAACTGCCTGAAGATCTCGTAGGGAACGCTCTAAATCCTTTTGGCTGTCATCTTCTACTTTCTCCAAAAACCCAAGGTCTCCACTTGCTTGCTGTCTATGAACCTAGGTCGTGAAAGTTGACAGCTTTTATAATTAAAATTAAAAAAAAAAACACCCTTTCATTTTAATTGTAATAAATGGACCTCTCTCTTTTCAGCATTAAAATAAATCTGTGTCGAAAGACCAAGCTTCTGTCTTTCTCAGTGCTCTGCGGGGTAAAAAAAAAAAAAAAAAAAGAACTCAGAACTAATTAGCAATCTGCTTTGAGCCAAATCCTATACACATCTTTAGTCAGAAATAAGTTTCAAACGAGTTCAAAGGAATCCAAGAGTCATTTCAATGAGAGCTGGTATGGTATCTGTAGATAAAAACTGAGGCTGCAAATTTCTGCATATCTACGGTAACAGAATTTACCTCTAGTTAGCATTGCAAACTGAATTGCAAATCTCCCAGTCACGGGAATTAATAGTTCTGTCAATTTATAAACTCCGTTCTGTCAATTTGCTGTATCTGCGCTTGCATGAACTCAGATGCACGCAAAACAGCCTGCCTAGGTGGTGTTTCCCTACGTCAGACGGAAGATCAATGCATAATCTATGGTGCACTAGAGAATGGGAAGGCTCTGCCCACTTCCTGAACCTGGTACTTTCTCCAGATGCGCTGGCCTAAAATTCCTGTAATTCTCACGGGCGGGGCTGGCTGCAAATTATGGAAATAGAGATCGGACACATCTGGAAGATGTCAGGTGGGGTGAGGCTATACCAGATTTATTACCCTTCCCAAAGTGTTGCAAATGACTTTGTTGTTGCCTCTGATGTTAAACACAGGTCTGAAATAATGAGAAAAAGACACTATGCTTGTAGAAGGCTACATTTAAGGTGGGTGCATCCAAGATGATTCAGGCCTGTGCCTTCCTTCCTTCTTCCTTCCTTCCTCTCTCTCTCTCTCTCTCTCCCCTCCCTCTCCATCTATCCATCCATCCATCCATCCATCCATCTATCTATAAATGAAGCTTTCTTAATATTTTTTTTCAGGAAAAAGTAAACTACGGTAATACAAACCAAAATTGGTATAGGTGAACTATCTATTCCTGGAACTTGAATTGCACTTGAAAATTCCTCATTGTGTTGTTTGATATAAATAATATAAATATAAACATAAATATAAATGGAAGCTACAGGCCTGAATCATCTTGGATTGATCCACCTTAATTATATATATAACTATATATATAACTATATAACTATAATTATATATAAATATATATATAAAACTATATAACTATATATAACTATAACTATAACTATAACACACACACACACACACACACACACACACACACACACACACACACACATATATATATATATTATCAAAGAAGAAATAATGGTTGGAAACTAACCACAGAGAGAAGCAACCTGGAATTAAGGAGAAACTTCCTTATAGTGAGGGACAATTAACCAATGGAACAGAAGTTGCCTCCAAAAATCGTGGGCGCTTCATCACTGGAGGTTTTTAAGAAGAGACTGGACAGTCGCTTGTCTGAGATTGTATAGGTTCTCCTGCTTGAGCAGAGGGCTGGGCTAGAAGATCTCCAAGGTCCCATACAGCTCTGTTATTCTATTCTATTCTATTCTATTCTATTCTATTCTATTCTATTCTATTCTATTCTATTCTATTCTATTATTCTATTCTATTCTATTCTATTCTATTCTATTCTATTCTATTCTATTCTATTCTATTCTATCCCTATTCTTTTCTAGTCTTACTCCTACTCCTACTCCTACTCCTACTCCTACTCCTACATCCTGTCCTGTCCTGTCCTGTCCTATCTTATCCTGCTACCTTTCTCTCTTTTTGGAGTAGACGCAGTGGACACATCCAAGCAAAGAAACATGAGCTCGCAGAGGGTTGATACAAAGCATGAGAAGAACTCATCTCAAGAACCAGATGTTCGCAGGATCACATTGGGTGAGAAGAGAAAGAGCTTGAGGGGGGGGGGGCTGTGACCAGTTGTGCTAGTTACCTTGAGGAGCATGAGAGCCTCATTCAGGTCGGCCACATCAACATCATTCTCCTGAAACAGAGAAATAATTAACAAAAAGGTTCTCTTCAAGAAATGAATAATGGAGGGAAGACTCTCTCTTGCGTTCACATACAACATGACATTCAGCTGGACAGCATGAATAAATGAACACTGTCGTATCCTCCATTATTCGGTTCGGGGCTTTTAAGAAAGAAGCATTTGCATAAAATATAGAAAGCTTCCCCTCCCCCACACCCCTTTTTAAGAGACATTCTCTAATCTGTTTTGATTAAAGAAAAAAAAAAACCCACAAATACCTTTATTTCTACTTGGAAACCACTTCTGGACTTTGTGCTTGAGGTGGCAAAAAAATGAAACTTTGATTTTGTGTTGTATCGATTAGCTAGATTTGTTGTTATAGAAATGGCTAGTTTCTATGATTATAAAAAAGTAAAAAGTTGAGGGTAGATGTTAATGCCTTATTTTACTGCACCAAAGGAGTCGGAAGTCAATGCCTTTTTTCTTCCTTTTTCCCTTCCTTTCCCCCACTACCACTTCCCTTTTTTCCTTTCTTAATTTCCCTAATATTTACTTTTGTATAGCAACAGCAATAGCACTTAGACTTATATACCACTTTACAGTGCTTTACAGCCCTCTCTAAGCGGTTTACAGAGTCAGCCTCTTGCCCCCAACAATCTGGGTCCTCATTTTATCCATCTTGGAAGGATGGAAGGCTGAGTCAACCTAGAGCCTGGTGAGATTCGAACGGCCAAATTGCAGGCAGCCGGCAGTCAGCAGAAATAGCCTGCAGTACTGCACTCAAACTACTGCGCCACCGCGGCTCTATTCTCTTTGTATGTCGTATTATACATTAATAAAAAAACCCCTCTAATTCTCTAAGTCATTCTCTAAAACGAGGAGGGAAAAAAAATTCACCTTGGTGAAAAAATGCACGCGGGACTTCAGCTCTTCCAGCTGTTGCTTCTGTTCGAGACAGCGCATTCGCAGCTCCTGGTTCTCCTTGGCAAGCTTTTCAGTTTGGTCTCAAAAAAAAAAAAAAGAGGGGGGGAGAGTCTTTTTTATATATATATACACTCGGCAGAATCATCGTTCGGTCTGCTTAACTTGCAACACGTTTAAGTGTAGGGTAGGGTCACGTGATCCCCTCTTGCAACCTTCTGAAGAGCCAGGTCAATTGGGATGCCATATTCACCTAACAAGCATGTTGCTAACTTTAAGAACGGCGGTGATTCACTTTTAACAACCGTGGCAAGAAAAAGTTGTAAAGTGGGGCAACACTCGCTTAAGAAATGCCTCATTTAGCAACAGAAAGGCTCCATGGCAGTCGTAAATCGGGAACTACCTGTATTCATCTATAAAACATTTCCAAGGGAGGAATGTAGTTTCTGGGGGAGTGGTATTCGGGTTTAATTTAAAACAAATTTTTTTAAAAAAACTGAGCACAGGGTCTTAGGCTCTTAAGAAAACAAAGATTAAGATAATCTACCGATAAAACAAACAGCCGTCAAAAGCTATATCATCATCTGTAATCAATACAAGGGAGGGTGACGACCCCTGCATTCCATGTTACCAAGAACGGAAAGACAGAGAATTCTTAAGTCTGCAATTAATTTTTTTCAGCATTAAAAAAAAATGCAGTATTGAAATGTTCCAACCGAAAGGATAATAAAACCTGAAACTCATCGGCAAAACTGACGGGGAGAGAAGAGAGAAGGGAGTGGCGTTGGGAAGCAGGCAAGGGATCAAAATGGTTTTTGCTGTCCAAACAAATTTGCGAAGTTTCAGAAGGGCCTTCTCCGACAGACGATCAATGAAATCGAGAGCGAATGAAACGAGAAGCGGACAATCTTACTCCAGAGCCAATTTATTTCCTTCGTGGTGATTTACTCTAAGAAACATCAACAATTAGAAGTAAAGCCGGGGTCCCCTTTTAGGAGAGGACGGGGGAGCGGGGAGGGAAGATTTGCAAAGAGAGAGCCATCATAACCCACCGAGTTCCTATTTGTATTTCTGTTACAATTCAATCCAGATTTACATCCTCGCTGCTGTTTCAGGAAATCTAAGCTACACGAAAAATATATATATTCCTGTGGGGGTATTACAAACTTTGATTTTTGTCTGGGATCAGGGACAATTGTGCCTTTTCTGATTGGAAAATATTGCACTGTGCAGAGATGGATAGATTGACATTGAAAATAAAAGATAAAGGAGATACAGAGTACTATTCAACGTGGAATAGATTTTTATCAGTGCTTAGAGATAAGAGGTAGAAATTAGATGAAGAAAGATCATTGCTATGTGTAAGTAAAATATGAATGTTGTCTATAATTATAAATATGCTCGTATAATTAATAGACACTGAGCTTGTCGATCAGAAAGGTCGGCAGTTCAGTGATTCAAATCACTAGTGCTGCGTAACCTAGCAGTTCGAAAGCACGTAAAAAATGCAAGTAGAAAAATAGGGACCACCTTTGGTGGGAAAGTAACAGCATTATGTGCGCCTTTGGCGTTTAGTCATGCCGGCCACATGACCACAGAGACGTCTTTGGAAAGCACTGGCTCTTCGGCTTTAAAATAGAGATGAGCACCGCCCCCTAGAGTCGGGAACGACTAGCACATATGTGCGAGAGGAACTTTTACCTTTTTATAATTAATATGATCATAAATAAGCTAATATAATTATAAATATGGTTATAATTGTTACGTGTATTATCATTATCACTATCAGTATATCTGTTATTTTTTTTTCGTCTGTAAAACAAAATGCCGGGATAATACACTGCCTTCAAAATATTTATATATAAATTAAAAACCTGACTTACAAAAACCCCAAACATTATCACCTGCCTTCCACCCGAAGTCCAACAAGATGGTCTATGATGGTTTCACTGCATTTATATTCTATAAGAACCTTCTGACATTGTCTATTCAGGGCACCCGAGGCCGACCTGTGAGAATCAAGAGGTAGGCCAAAGATTTTAAACCAGAAGACCCAAAATTTGGATTCCTGTTACTAGTTAAAATGATTTAGTAGCGAGAAGACAGGAAGAATGGCCCCTCTTTCTCCCTGAGCTAGTCAGAAGAAAAAAAATAATAAATTTGGACAGCAGACCAACCTGGCCTGGTAACAGCACCTTTGTTATGTTCCCTGATGTTCTCCATGACTTAAAACTCGAAAAGAAAATCGGCATGCTTGGCGCGTACAGGGGTGTACCTCGTTCCATTTTGATTCTGTCCAGGATATTGTTTTTTTCAGCTAAATCTGCTTTTAAAGCCGCCTCGAGCTGACCGATCTGCCGTTTCAGCTGCTGCTCCTTCAGTTTCCACTGCTGGTCGTGGGTCACCCTGAAGGCACTGAGAAATTGAATATGACAAAAGGGGGGTGGAAATGAAAACACAAGACATTAGCACGGGTAAACCACTCTTTGCTCTCCTATGCATGCCGTGTGGCACGTGGGGGGCCTCCGTGAAACGGTCTCCAACCCAAAAAAGATGGAAGCTGGAAGCCAGGGCAGAGAAAGGACCATGATCGTCAGGACAAGCCAATAAAGGAGAATATTTGTAGCTCAGGGTGGAAACGAGGAGCCCTTCATTGTCGTGCTCTCTGAACGTGGCTGCTTTCTTGCAGATGTTTCATTACCCAAACTAGGTAACCTTATCAGTGCACTGGTGACATCACCAGGTTTGGATAATGAAATGCCTGCAAGAAAACAACCAAGCTCAGAGAGGCATGTTTGTGAGTCTTTCTTGGGAATGAAGGGAACGCAGGATGGACGGCTGTGGGTCGAGGCGCCTTTCACTGGCTGCAACGATGGGTCACACACAGAAAGTTTTGTGGGATGAGCAATGGAGTTGGCCTAGATTTGGAGCATTATCCCCGCTCTATGGCAGGGTCCACAGATAGATGGATGGATGGATGGATGGATGGATGGATGGATGGATGGATGGATAGATAGATAGATAGAGAGATAGATAGATAGATAGATAGATATGGATGGATATGATTAATAGACAGATGGAGATGGATGGAGGGAGGGAGGGAGGGAAGGAGGGAGAGAGAGATGGATGGATGGATATGGATGGACAGTTAGTTAAGATGGATGGAGGGATGAAGGGAGGGAGGGAGAGAGAGAGATGGATGGATGGATGGATGGATATGGATGGATAGATAGATAAATAAATAGATAAGATGGAGGGAGGGAGGGAGGGAGGGAGGGAGGGAGGGAGAAAGAGAGACAGAGAGGGATGGATGAATGAATATGGGTGGATGGATGGAAGGGCAGATAGACAGATAGATAAGATGGAGGAAGGGAGATAGAGAGGGATGGATGGATGGATGAATATGGGTGGATGGATGGAAGGATGGAAGGGCAGACAGACAGATAAGATGGATGGAGGGAGGGAGAGAGAGAGAAAGAGAGGGATGGATGGATGGATGAATATGGGTGGATGGATGGAAGGGCAGACAGAATAGATAAGATGGAGGGAGGGAGGGATAGATATAGACAGTCAGACATACACATATATACACAAATACACACACACACACATACGGAGTGGACCCTGTCATGGTGTGGGAATGCTAGGAAGAGAATGCACACACACACACACACACACACCATCTGCAACTGGAGGCTTCTTCTGGTGCCCTGTCTTGCTTCACAATCAGGGGTTTCCTCATTAAGCCTCTGCAAATTGACTGTAATTGCTTCAATTTTCTGTTCGGCACCAGAAAATGAATTCAGCGCCCTATCTCATTTCATGTTCCGTAGGTTTAGCTCCCTAATTTTTTATTTATGTGATATTAAGCGCTGCTGACAGAATTTACACAGACTATTACCTCGAAGCAACTTTTATAGAAATATCAAGTGCAGCCGCGGTGCCAGCCCAAGGCATTTCTGGCACCCGAAAAGTCAAAATGACGTTCCGCTTGGCTCCATACCGGAGTCCGCATTTTTCAGGAAATTGAGATGTTGCGGGGTAAGAGCTGGAGGCAAGAAAGGGGCATCCAACCCCCCCCCTCCCTCCCCTTCCATTGGCTGCCTGAAATGGATGGGTCCTCCTCGGAGCGTGGAAGGGCAACATTATCTGTACAACAGTGTAGAGATTCTTGGAGGGAGGGAGGGAGGGAGGGAGGGAGGGAGGGAGGGAGGGAGGCAAGTAAAGGATTTATTGCTCCCAGTCCCCCCAAAATAAGAACACTTCAGAAAAGCCAGTTCAAGACTGTAAGGATCACTTAGAATGCTGCATCCAGTTTTGGTCGTCACGATATATAAAAGATCTTGAGAACGAGCACAGAGAAGAGCAGCAAAGATGATTAGGGGACTGAAAGCTAAAATAAATAGAACAGAACAGAACAGAACAGGGAATGGAATGGAATGGAATAGAATAGTTTATTTATTTATTTGTCAGATTTATAAAATTCTTTATGGAATGGAATAGAATAGAATAGAATTCTTTATAGAATGGAATGGAATATTTATTTATTTATTTATTTGTCAGATTTATAGAATTCTTTATGGAATGGAATAGAATAGAATAGAATAGAATAGAATAGAATAGAATTCTTTATAGAATGGAATGGAATGGAATGGAATGGAATGGAATGGAATAGAATAGAATAGAATAGAATAGAATAGAATAGAATAGAATAGAATAGAATAGAATTGGCCAAGTGTGATGGGACACACAAGGAATTTGTCTTTGGTGCATATGCTCTCAGTGTACATAAAAGGAAAGAAGAAAGAAAGAAAAAAGAAAGAAAAAAGAAAAAATACATTAATAAAGAATCATAAGATACAACACTTAGTGATAGTCATAGGTTACTAATAAGCAATCAAATCATACTATGAAACAAACAGAACAATATAAATCGTAAAAATACAAGCAACATGGTTATAGTCATAAGTGGGAGGAGATAAGTAATAAGAAGGATAATAAGAAGAAGTCTTAGTAAATATGAAGAATGGTTGCAGGAATTGAGTAGTGAAATACTCCATACTTCACCTAGTCCTCCAGGGAAAGATAGAAGGCAAACGAGGTCCATGCAGAAGAAGAACATTGTGGCTTCAAAATCTAAGGGACTGGTTTGGACAAAACTCAACAGCACTTTTTCGTGCAGCTGTTGATCAAAATAGGATCACCAACATCCGATGACGGATATGGCACAAGAAGTAGTCTAGTGAAAAGAAAGACTAGGGGTGACATAATAGTGCTGGAATGGCCTGGGAATACCCCAGACTTTAACCCAATTGAAAATCTATGGAGCCGACTAAATAAACTTGTTAGTCTGAAGCGACCCAGCAATAAAACCCAGTTAATAGAAGCCATCATTCAATCTTGGTTTCACATGATAACAGCTGCAGAACTAAAAGACTTGGTTCACTCCATGGGAAGACGTTGTAAGGCTGTAATTCATACTAAAGGTTACCCAACTAAATATTAACTGACATGGTGATATTTTTTGTACATCTCATTTTTTCTATGGTGATCATTTTTGTATATCTCATTTTTTCTACGTGTTTTGCTTTTCTTCTTTATACTGTAACTCCTATTGTAATAGCAAATCCTTCATAAAAGTTATTATCATTACATTCTTGATTAAATTATCTTCCCACTGATATAAAATTTTATGGTACTACTCCAAAAAAAAAAAAGTGGTGTTATTAGCTAGGTTTAGAAAAGACACTTTTCCCAAAAGGTTTCCACAATTTTGGCCACTACTGTAGTTTCTTTCTTTCTAGAGGCAAGAAAAAAAATGACAGAAGAGAATAGAACTAAAAAGAGAGACAGAGAGAGAAGAGAGAGAGAGATTGATGAGACTGCCAGCTGGGCAAGCGGCCCTAGATCAGGATTCAATCTTGTAAAAGTTAAAAGACTGATGTAGTGAAGAACATGGTCGGCAGTTCCTAAGGACCCTAACCAGGACCCAAAGGAAGTTCTTCAATGCAGGAGCAACTTAGTCACCCTAGAATGCTCCCCGAATAATATTAATGGGAAAGCGAAGATGGACAAGATTCTTGAAATCACTTTTCTAAGGCGTTAGCAAACTTCACCCGCTCCTGCCTATTCAGGTCATTGAGTTCAAGATTACATATCTGTATTTCTGAGTCAGATTATTTTCGTTGAGAACATTAAAAAAAAAGAAAAGAAACGGGAGTTTAAAAGAAATTACTCCATTCGTTATAGTTTACCTGTTATATAATTTATCATAGTTTTCCTTTAAAAGGTCCCTCTCTTTTTCCAAATCATTAATTCTGTCTTGCAGCTGGAATGAAAAAGAATGTTAGCGGGGGATTCATGGCGGAAGGAGATGAAAGCAACAATTACTAATGTTCAATAGGTTTCCTAGTTAGGTACCTGGGCCACCTGCTTTCTCTTGCCAACGAGGGACTGATGATCCCTTATCATCACCTCAGCTGCTCTGATGTCACCAAAGGACAAGACCGATTACAAGGGTACCTCCGTCAAAAGTATTAACAATAATAACGTTTCGCTGACGAAGGTGTTATTTCTTTGGGATGAGATGAACGTATTGGCAGGTTTGATTTTATTTATTTATTCTATCCGGCCTTTTAATATTTTTTTAATACATAACGCAAGGCATCAAATATTCCTAATATGCCTTTTTCCTCCTATTTTCCCCGCAACAACAATAATCCTGTGAGCTAAGAGAGAGTGATTGGCCCAAAGTCACCCAGCTGACTGTTATGGCTAAGGTGGGACTAGAACTCACAGCCTCCTAGTGATTGGCCCTAAGTGCTCCAGCCAACTTTCATGCCTAAGGCGAGACTAGAACTCACAGCCTCCTAGTGATTGGCCCAAAGTCACCCAGCCAGCTCTCATGCCTAAAGTGAGACTAGAACTCACTTGTCTCTTAAGGAAGATAATTCTACCTCCTTTACGAGTAGAAGTCCAGTGAGACTTTTGACCCATTATGTAAGGCTTTAGCAGTCATCCTGGGAAAGGAGGAACGCTGTGTCCTGAAACGGCTGACCTCTTGGAATGAATACTAATATATTACTTGGAGGCAAGACTTTTGGAGAGAGGTTCACGGAATGATGGCTCCCTTTCGATCGCTCGGATTCATATGAATCCTATTGCGGCGCAATAATAGTAGGAACAACTCTGGGTGGGAACAATCGACATAGCACGGAAAATATGCAGTGTGAACGAGTTATAAGAACACCATACGTCTGCCAAAACGCATCTGGCAGATTCCTGCTAGCGATAAGCTAAACGAAACCACATTGTTCAAATTATCAAGATCGCCTCGAACTGATTTGGTCCCTTCCACGAAACATTTTTTGGTTCTGCTCCCACTTGAGAACGCTGGGAAAACTCCGTGGCTCTTTTAAATACCACAAGCACACACAAAAAAAAAAAAGAGAGAAAGATTTGCTGCTTCACCTCTTCTGAGCGTCGTCTCGAAAATGTGGTGGCCTGCAATTGTCCCTCTAGGTGGAGGCACTTTGAACGTTCTTCTTTAAGTTGCAAATTCAGTTCTTCCCCCTTGGCTATTAGGGCATCGTGGCTCATTTTGAGATTTTTTTGCTTCTGCGAGAGTGAAGAGGGGAAGGAAGATAAAAGAAAGAGGAAAAAAATGTTAGTGCTAGATAAGTCATATTTAGGCTACATTCAGAATCACACAGTTTTTCTCAATGCTTTATACTTGGACTAAGACAGGGGTCAGCAACCTGTGGCTCTGGAGCCGCATGTGACTCATCCCTCTACTGTGGCTCCATCACTGGTCGGCTCCACAATTGATAGGGCTTTCCGGTTAGGGTAGGTAGAGGAAAAAGATGCTGCGCTAGAAGGAGTCTCTATGGTGGGGGAACCAGACTTCCGGTCAGCAGAGAAAAAAGGATGCCACACTAGGAGGAGTCTCTATGGTGGGGGAACTGGATTTCCGGTCAGCTCCAGAATTGAATGGGGGGCTTCCGGTTAGGACCTTTGTGGCTCTTTGAGTGTTTAAGGTTGCCGACCCCTGGACTAAGAGAAGGTGCCACCTTTGCTCTGTTTATGTATTGGTCCCTTTTTAATCTAGTTTTTTGTTAATTTTTTTTAGGTTTGAATCCTTAAGGCTGAATGTTGTTAAATGGTTTTACCGTTCTCGTTGTTTTATATTGTGTTTTTATGAGGCTGTAAGCTGCTCTGAGTTGATTGACAGTCAGATGGGTGCCATATAAATAGAATAGGTAATGGGAGTCCCTGTGGATTTTACTCCACTGGTCATTGCTGACTCTTATCTGAGTTTCAAGGCCATTGAACTGGCACTGTCTGAAGACATTTCCATGATTATGTGGCCGGCATAACATCACGGAGCACTGTTACCTTCCCATCAAAGTGGTACCTATTTATCTACTCACATTTCCAACTGTTAGGTGGGCAGAAGCTGGGGCGAGGACAGGACCTCACCCTGTCTCAAAGTGTTTGGGTCTCGAACCTGGGCTGCCGGTTTTCCAGCTGAAAAGCCCAGCATCTTAACTGCTGAGCCACCACGCCACTCATATAAATATAATAAATAAATAAATTTAAACAGTATGTGATATCAATTGAGCATCCAGGAGAACCTCTCACCACGGATGTGATCTAGACGTAGCCAGCAAGAGTACAGAATGTGAACCTTTCCTAGTACCTGGTTAGAGTGCAGTACTGTGGGCTACTTCTGCTGACTACCGGCTGCCTGCAATTTGGCAGTTCGAATCTCACCAGGCTCAAGGTAGACTCAGCCTTCCATCCTTCCGAGGTGGGTAAAATGAGGACCCAAATTGTTAGGCTGACTGTAAACTGCTTAGAGAAGGCTGTAAAAGCACTGTAAAGCAGTATATAAGTCTAAGTTGCCCTTATTGCCCTTCCTTCCTTCCTTCCTTCCTTCCTTCCTTCCTTCCTTCCTTCCTGGTGCTAGTGCTACTGCTGAATTGAGGAGGGTTAAGAAAAAAGCTATTAAAACATCTCCCGGTTTTTACAGAGGAGGTGACCAGGCTGTGCTTGTGGGTGGGATCAGATTCCTGAATGATCTGGATGAAAAATCTCAAGGATTTACCTACCTCCTGAAGTTGAAGCAATTTTTCTTCCACCGTTGCAAATTCGCTGGTTTTCTCTATCAGCTGTTTGTGGAGTTTGATCATCTCTACGTTGTCTCGAATGCTGAGCCTCCAAAAAGCAATTTTGATTTTTGCCCCCCCAAAAGACAGAAAAATCATGGTCAGATTTTTTTTTTTTTTTAACTAAAGCAGCCATGCATGCAATTTTGATCTTGAAATCTGTAGCCTTGAAAACAGTTTCTTTGTAGCTTAATTCCCAACGCAATCAGGGGAAAAAACTATTAGTGTGGCCAAAAGTCATTTTTCCTTTCTTGAAGTAAACATTACAGATAGTTAAATCAATCCATGCTTCAGTGAAAGAGGGCTGAACAATGCTGACGAGTTAGACATAATGCTTCATGCCATAACAGTATGGTAAATGCAATAGTTAAAGGAATAAATTGATATTTATAACAGGGAGATCATTTTGTTTTGCTATCAAGCAGCTTCCAAACTTTTGCTGTTACTTTTTACTGGCATTTACTGGAACTTATTTCCTTCCTCAACTCAACTAATTGCAAGGCTTGTGATTTAACATTTTACATAGACGATACTTTGAGACCGGTATTAAAATAAACTGCAGATGTATTTTTAACACTGACCGGCGTGGGCGAAATTCTATAGGGCTAAGATGCTGTTATACATTTCCCTTGGTGAGATTCAATAACAAATTCATAATTTTATCTTGTGAAAAGTTAAATACAGATAAGGTATCAGAAATGTAACATTTGATCTCATTGTTATTCTATCTGCATGGCTGCATCAAGCCAGGATAATTTTTTTTTTTAAAGAAACTCCTTAAAGGAGCTTAAGTGCTAATACCAAATAAAGCAAAAAGATAAACAGAATTTCACATCTTGAAATACGCTGTTTCTCCCCCAATACTTATCTGCTGAAGACAGATTGGAAAAATTGTTCCACTGCTGGAACCAGATTACAAAGCTGATACATCTGTAAACCAGCTGAAAACTTAAAATTATATCTCTCCCATATGTATACATACATACACACACACACAGAATATATATATATATTCTACTTTACACACACACACACTCACATATCTATCAGGGATGAAATCCAGCAGGTTCTGACAGGTTCTGGAGAACCGGTAGTGGAAATTTTGAGTAGTTCGGAGAACCAGCAAATACCACCTCTGGCTGGCTCCAGAGTGGGTGGGAATGGAGATTTTGCAATATCCTTCCCCAAGGAGTGGGGAGGGAATCGGGATTTTGCAGTATCGTTTCCCTGCCATGCCCACCAAGCCACACCATGCCCACCAAGGCACGCCCACCGAACCGGTAGTAAAAAAAAATGGATTTCACCACTGATATACCGTATTTTTCAGACTATAAGATGCACCTTAGTTTTTGGGGAGGAAAATAAGAAAAAAGCTGATTGGCGGGTGGATCGGCCTCCTGGAATACCCCCAATCAGCTGTTCCCAGAGGTGAATTTTAGCAACAGGTTTGTTGGTTATGAGCTTTGTGCCTTGTTTTTTTGCTTTTTTTTCTGCCTCTGAAACTTCTGAAACTCTGTTTCAGAAAATACTTTTTTTCCTGCCTCTAAAAACCTCCGAAACAGCTTCAGAAAAAAAGCCTCTGAAGCTCTGTTTGGAGGCTTTTTTTTCTGAAGCTCTGTTTCTGATGCTTTTTTCAGCCTCTGAAACTTCCATTTGAGAAGCTGGGCGGGGCTACATTCGGAGTATAAGATGTACCCAGATTTTCACCCTCTTTTTGGGGGGAAAAGGTGCGTCTTATATTCCGAAAAATATGGTGTGTGTGTGTGTGTGTGTGTGTGTGTATATATATATCAATATATCAATATATCAATATATCCAATATATATATATATATTGGAAGGGACGGCATCCCTGCCAGACTCTAAGTGCAAAAATTAACATCATGTTGTGTTTTTATTACAGTTATCGTGCTTTTCACTTCAAACAACTTGGTTACCTTCAGAGAATGTCTGACAAGTCCTCCCTTTTATTTTTAAATAAAAAGGAGAGCTTTTTTTTTTTTTTTTTAAGGTGTCAGTGTCCTGCAGATGTTACCCTAATAGCTCTTAATTACCCAGATTTTCTAGATTATTCCATGGTGTGGGGGTGGAAGATCTGTTGGCCAGGTCCAGATAAGGCGGGAAAGTATTGTTAATTTCCAAGCCACAATAGAAAATGGCAACAGGCCCTCATTGCCGGTTATCTTTTTCAAGAAAAATTGCACCTCATTCCTGCTTTGTGGGATAGTTGCCACAAGAGCAATTCTCTATTGTTGTCGTTTTATATTGAGGCATGTATTGTTTCACAACTGTATTTGTTTTACATTTTACATTTCTGTTACATTTCTGTTATACTGATATCTCCCAATGCTGTGAGCCTCTTTCACAGGTAATGTCGGCCATCCTGTGGTATTATTTTGAATTTCCGTGAAAGGGTTAGCATAGTGATGGCTAACTTTTTTGCCATCATGTGCCAAAAGCGGGGGGAACGCAGGGCAGTTGTGAGTGTGCATGCCCACGCCCATAATTCATTGCGCCCTGCCCCCCTCGTGCATGCGACCCTCCCTGCACTCCCTTCACTTTTGGCACATGATGGCATCGTGGGACTGGTAAGCCTGTTTTTCACCCTCCCCAGGCTCCAGAGGCTTTCTAGGAGCCTGAGGACGGCGAAAACAGCCTTCCCCATCCCCCTGGAGGCCTCTGGAGGCCGGAAACAGCCTGTTTCCTGACTTCCAGTGGGTTTGGAAGGCCCCAAAATCAGCTGGCCGGCACGTGCATGCACGCTGGAGCTGAGCTAGGATAATGCTTGCAAGCTCACCGATATGGCTCCATATGCCACCTGTGGCACCATCATGGGGTTAGCACAATGAGAACCGAGCTACAAAAAAAACGGAAAAATGATATGTGGAGTTATTTCTGAGTACAGCTAGTCCTTGACTTACCACAGTTCGTTTAAGTGACCGTTAGAGTTAGAGCAGCACTGAAAAAAGTGACTTACGACTATTTTTTGCAGTTGCATTTGTAGCATCCCCAGGATCATGTGATCAAAATTCATATGCTGGACAACTAATTCACACTTATGACCGTTGCTGTGTCCGGGGTCATGTGATCCCCTTTTGCGACCTTTTGACATGCAAAGTCAATGGGGGGGGGAAACAGATTTGCTTAATGACCGTGTTTACTAACTGAACCACTGTAGTGATTCACTTAAGAACAAGTGGCAAGAAAGGTCTTAAAATGAGGCAAAAGTCAGTTAACCACTGTCTTGCTTTAGCCACAGAAACGTTGGGTTCAGTTGTGGTCGTAAGTCGAGGAGTACCTGCATTCAACTCTAATCTGATGATCTTTCTCTTTTGTCCTACCGTTGGCCTGTGGCTTGCTGCTCTTTCAGTTGGAGGAGAGCGACTTCAAACTCTTCTTCTTTTTTCTTTTTCTCACGTCTTAGCATTTCGATCGCAAGCACCAACTCTTGATTCTGTCCCCGCAAGGATTCAAGCTCATTCTCTCTGCAGGTCAACCGAGAAAGTTTTCCCGATGAAAAAGCAGAAAAATTTAAAAACTTAAAAAAAAAAAAAAGACAGAATACAGAAGGAAAGCTGCGTGTTTAAATGGGGATAAGTGGATCAGTAATTTATTCCTTTTGTATCCTTACGATTTATATTTATATTGTTTCCTAGTATGATTTGATTGCTTATTTGTACCCTATGACTATCATTTAGTGTTGTACCTCATGATTCTTGATGAATGTATCTTTTCTTTTATGTACACTAACAGCTTATGCACCAAAGACAAATTCCTTGTGTGTCCAATCACACTTGGCCAATAAAGAATTCTATTCTATTCTATTCTATTCTATTCTATTCTATTCTATTCTATTCTATTCTATTCTACTCTATTCTTCTATCTATTCTAATTCCATTCCATTCCATTCTTCTCAAAGAGCAGAGGTATTCTAAAGAGTTTATTTGGAAGAAGTGGACAATTTCAGAAACATGGGTAACAGATTAGCTCATTCACTGAGCTAAAATAAATTTAAAATAATACTTGAAGAAACAATATTTTTTCCCAAAAAATATTGTTATTTTTTTCTTGATCAATGTCTCAATGTTGTCTTTTCCAAAACTGCCATAACTAGAAAGCAAAAGAAGCCTGAAATATATAAATCATGTTGCTACATTCAATGGGCTTGATCCAGAGTTATATTAAAGAAAAGACATCTAAACTACCTTCTGTTCTGAATTACAACTATAACTATTCATCACTACAATTAATAGTGTTTAGTTGCTATTCATTGGGGGGGTTTTTTTGTAAGTGGGATTACCAATTTTCCAAAAAAGGCAAAGGTAAATTTGGGAGATAGAGAGATTGAGATGGGCAGAGAAGCAGAGAATAACCTCATCATTTTGACTTTTGAAAAATTGTACCAACTATACCCAACGAGGCAGCCATTTTACAAATGGTGAAACCGAGCCTAAGTAACCGCCATTTTAATTTTTTGGGAAAGTCCTCACAAATGGCTCCAAAATCCCAATATGTCTACCGAACCTCCGACATTTAGAGGGTCTTGAAAAATTCAATGTCAACTTTTTATAGGAGAACCCAACAAAACTGAACAGGACTTGCCCGGTGTAATTTTTTTTTTTTAACTTTTCTTGAGAAGCTTAACAAGTTGATCAGAGGAGGAAGAGAAGAAGGAGGAGGAAGAATTCCAAAAAAAAAAAAAAAGGCATACAAGTTTTTGATCTCTGCTCTTGCTTCTTCAAGTAAACTGTGTCCATACTTGGAAGGCAATTCTTCAACGTTCTGCAGCCTCATCCCTGGTAGGAAAGGTGAGGTGGATGGAAGGAAATAAAGAGAGGAGTACGTTTGTTGATTTGGAAGTCGATCCACGATGACAAACATAATTGATTCATCATCACCATGACCAAGCTGTCAGGCCTGGAAGCCATCTTTGGCATTGGGCCTTCAGGCCTGCCACATTTAATGGTGTGGGAAACTGGGAGGGGGGGGGGGATTGTATGGAGCATGAGTGATATATAGTCATAATAACATTCCTTTCTCAGAGAGTCAAGGACATTTCTTGGATCCTGAGTGGCGTAGGAGGCTAATGCCTCCTACTAAGGCAGCATTTAACATCCAGCTGCCTGCAATTACTGCGAGTTTAATTCTCACCAGGCTCAAGGTCGACTCAGCCTTCCATCCTTTCTAAGGCGGGTAAAATGAGGACCCGGTTTGTGGGGGCAATAAGCTGACTTTGTATAAAATATACAAAAGTATGAAGGCTATTGCTTAACGCATTGTAAGCCGCCCTGAGTCTCCGGAGAAGGGCGGCATATAAAAATAAATAAATAAATAATAATAATAAAAAAAATCTAAGACACAGGTTTAACCTCTCATCTATCTGAAACGTAGACAGTTAAAGGCTCAATCTGATACCTTTCTTGGTGGCCTCGTGGACCCTCAAACCTTCCGTCGCCTTCTTGAGTCCCGTGTTAACCCGTGCCTGGACGTAATTGTAGGGCGTGTGTCTTTGGCCTTGAAGCTGAAGCTGCTGTTTGGTAGAAATCAGCCTGTTGCGTATCATTTCGTTCTGTTTTTCTAAGTCCCGGACCTTCTCCTGAAGTTGTTCGATGACTTCCTCCATCTCCACATCCTGACCCAGCCGCCTGGGGATGCCACCGATCTGCTCTGCTTTCTTCTTGTCATTAATGAGACGTATTAACTTAGTGGCCATTCTGAGGAGACAAGTCAGATGTAGCCAATGGGGTGGGGGTGGGGGAGAAAAGGAAGGGGGGAAAAATCAGCATGAAAAAGCACTTTGTTGAAAGGAACATAATCACTGTGAAGACTTTCAGCGGTCAAACCTGAGTAATAAATTTCAGGTTTCGATAGAACTATGACGGCCTGCGAAGAGGCCTTTGAAGATAATTGGAACCATTGGCTAGCAATCTGCTTTATAGCACTGACAAATAATAGTTTCCTAAGGCTTATCACTGAAAGTTTAGTCAAGTGGGAAGGGAGACATATTTGGTCCATATGCTGCTCAAATTTGGAACGGATGACCTTCCTAAGAAACTGTGGACTCTGCTTAAGTGTCGTTAAAGATTCGGGATGTGGTGAGGCCAGGCACAAAGGCTGCAGCTCCATGTGATATTAAACTATCCCATGTATGCTTGCAATATGTAACACATTGCGCTGATGTCTTGCTTCCATGCAAGGACAGGGGAACAAAACCCACGCGTTTTCTGCCAAATAAAAGAATTAAAATGAGTAGCTGGACCAGGCCAGCTTTTAATCATCCTCTGTGCCTTGCTGCGTCTTATCCTTAGCAAATGATAGGGTAGGGTAGGGTAGGGTAGGGTAGGGTAGGGTAGGGTAGGGTAGGATAGGATAGGATAGGATAGGATAGAATAGAATAGAATAGAATAGAATAGAATAATAAATGAATGGAATGGAATGGAATAAGAATAGAATAGCAGAAGAATAGAATAGAATGGAATGGAATGGAATAAGAATAGAATAGAATAGAATAGAATAGAATAGAATAGAATAGAATAGAATAGAATAGAATAGAATAGAATAGAATAGAATAGAATTCTTTATTGGCCAAGTGTGATTGGACACATAGGGAATTTGTTTCAGGACTGGCTTAACAGCTCGTGGTTGGATAATAATTGGATGCAGGAGGAATGGTTTTCATCTAATTTTAAAAGGGTAAATTTTTGCTTTTGGCGTCTCCAGAGTTGTACCTTTGATTCCTCTCGAGTTTTGATAAACAGAGGGAAGCTATAACAAAAGACGAAGGAGCGTGGAAGGGTGATGTAATACCCCCCAAATCAGAAGATACTCGCAGCAGTGAAGGATTGGGTCAGGGAGCAGGACTTGGCAGGCTAAGAAAGAAAAGGTGGCTTTGATGGAAGAGGGAAGTTCAAAACTTTACAACATCGGTCCCACATCTCTTTAACGGCTGCAACTACTTTATAGGAAGACATTGGATTTCTTTTCCTGTTTCTTTGTGGAAAACCCAGACGGGAGCCTGAAAATAGAGGCACACTTCATCTATTTAAGGATTTACAACCCCCCCCCTTTTTTTAGCAAACTCCTACCTTTTTCTTTAACGAAAAAAAAAGAACAAAAAGCAGATGCGCGAGGAGGGTATGATGTTCAGCCCCTGGAAATGAACCCAGAAGTGATTTGCTGTAGTGAATGAAGAAGGTTAAAGTCTCCTGAAGGTCTTTAAAACAATTTAAGAGTTTTGGATTTTTAAAAAGGAAAAGTGTTTTTAAAAAATGACAAAGGAACCCAGCTTAATTATTTATTATCCCACGATAGGACACGCTCTTCAAGTACAGGAAGTCCTCGACTTACAACAATTCGTTTAATGACCGTTACGACGGCACTGAAAAAAGTGACTTATGACCATTTTTCACACTTACGACCGTTGCAGCACCCCATGGTCACGTGATAAAGATATGCTTGGCAACGGACTTGTATTTATGACGGTTGTGGCTTTCCCGGGTTCATGCGATCCCCCTTTGGTGACCTTTTGACAAGCCGAGTTGATGAGGAAGCCAGATTCGCTTAACATCTGTTTGACTCACTTAACAACTGCAGTGATTCACTTAACAACGATGGCCAAAAAAAGTCGCCAAATTTTGCCAAATGGGGCAAAAGTCACTTAACCAATGTCTCACTTAGCAATATAAGTTTGGGGCTCAATTGTGGTCGTAAGCCGAGGACTACATTTTACAAGCAACATTTTAGGGAGTCAATAGGGAAGCCAGACCTTTTAATCTTATCCTCTTGCTTACGGGCATGTTGTTTCAGCAAGATGTTCTCCTCGTGTAAGCGAAGGTATCGATCTTCAAGTTCCTCCCGGTGAATCCGCGAAATGATTTGCCGAGCCCTAACATTTTGGGCAGCTGATGGTTCTGCAAAAGGAGGAGGAGGAGGAGGAATCAAGGGTTATTTTGGTTTTGTTTTGTTTTTAGGGCTACCGTAAATTTTGCTGATGGCAGATTTGAGGCCAGGAAAGTTTTGCGAACTCCTTTGCAATGGCCTTAGGGAAAGTTGAGCTCAGGGATGAAGTAGGTAACGTCCTTCTAACGCTTTGGACTTTACGAGATACCAGTTCAGATTCCAGCTCAGGGTAGAAGTTAGAGAGAATGTGCACAGAGGAAGAAAGAAAGAAAGAAAGAAAGAAAAAGAAAGAAAGAAAGAAAGAAAGAAAGAAAGAAAAAGAAAGAGGAGGAAGGAAGGAAGGAAGGAAGGAAGGAAGGAAGGAAGGAAGGAAGGAGTCAGATAAAAGAGGTCTGAGTCTGGTGCAAGAAAGTAAGATGAGTAAATTATGAGCCCCTCCCTAGTTTAAGTGAAGATAAAGGGAAGAAGGAAGCACATTCAGACATGCAAGTTTCTGTCCCTATAGCTTTGCAATATACACCAAACAGGTAACCTCAGGGACCCATCCATCTCTTTAAGATAAAGGATTTCCCTGTCCAGTCATGTTCGATCTAGGGGGCACCTCTCATCTCTGTTTCTTAGCCGAGGGAGCCAGCACTGTCTGAAGACATTTCCGTGGTCATGTGGCCAGCATGATTATATCCTGAGGCACACAGAACGCTATTACTTTCCCACCAAAGTGGTACCTATTTATCTACTTGCATTTGCAGGCTTTCAAACTGCTAGGTGGGCAGGAGCTGGAGCAAGGAACAGGAGCTCACCCCGTCGTGCGGCACTCAGGTCTCGAACTTGAGCTGCAGCTGACAAGCTAAGTGTCTTTAACCCCTGAGCCCTGGTGTGCCCGTAACCCTCTGTGAGGATTTAATTACTATGATTGTAGTCAAACTGGAAGGAGGCTAAAGCTTGCTTCCTACCAAACAAAATAAATGATACTATATGTACCCTCAGAGATAATTTAGCAGAAGAACCTTTCTACCATACAAAGACATTCAGGAGTTAATCCGATTTCTAACCAGGGTGACAAACCTGAATGTCCTCCGAGGTTTAGACCTACGTCTCTCACTGGGAGATCTTCCGATGTTTCATCAGCTTCAGCGGACATGGCTGAGGTATAAACAGCAGGGCACTACGAATTTCCTGCTCTGTTTATAAAACAAATGACACAGAGAGCAGAGCAAATTACGTTCAAGGAGAATATCTGTAGTTAGGGTTGAAATGAGGGATCCTTTGTCTCCATGTTTTTCAGGAAGAACACAAGGATGGGTGCAGATCTTACCTTGGGAGCCATGATCAGAAAAGGCTCTTTCCTGGACCCTGCCAGCAGTTACAACCTTTGTAGCATCCCCATTAACAGATTAACAGAGTTGGAAGGGATCATCTGTAGATCATCTAGTCCAACCACCCCCTCACCCAGCCTAAGCAGGAGACCCTACACCATTTCTGACAGAGGGCAGTCCAGTCGTGTGATCAAAATTCAGAGGCTTGACAACTGACTCACATTTATGACAGGTAGTCTTCATCTTACCACAGTTTGTTTAAGTGACTGTTCCAAGTTAGAGCGGCACTGAAAAAATGTGATTTATGACCATTTTTCGCAGTTGCATTTGTAGCGTCCCCAGGATCATGTGATCCCAATTCATATGCTTGACAACTGGTTCGTACTTATGACCGTTGCTGTGTCCGGGGTCATGTGATCCCCTTTTGCGACCTTTTGACAAGCAAAGTCAACGGGGGGGGGGAACCAGATTTGCTTAACGACCATGTTTACTAACTTAACCATTGTAGTGATTCACTTAAGAACAAGTGGCAAGAAAAGTGTCAGTTACAGATTTCAGTTAACAACGGCACTGAAAAAAAGCGACCCATGACCGTTTTTCCACACTTACGACCCTTGCGGCGGATATCCCCGTGGTCACGTGATCAAAATTCAGACGCTCGGCATCCGACTCGTATTTATAACGGTTGCAGGGCGATCCCTTCGGCGACCAAGGGGGGGGGGGGAAGCCAGATTCACTTAACGGCAGGGTTTTACGGACTTATCAGCTGCAGTGATTCAGTGCCAAAAAAAAATAAAAAATAAAAAATGTCCTCAAGCTTCAGCTTCACCAAGGTCTCACTTAGCAACCTGAAACGTCGGTCTCCATTGTGGTCATAAGTCGAGGACTGGCTGCCTATGTGCATAGGTGAATCTTGTCGTCTGCGGCATTTTATACACCTACCAGCTCAGAGGTTGCGTCCTTCTTTTTAATAATTCCGGATCTTTCAGAAAAAAAACATAAAGCATCCCCAGTCAGCCCCCATCAATCAATCAATCAATCAATCAATCAATCAATCAATCAATCAATCAATCAAATATATTCCTAGGAGAATCACCTACAGATGCGGCAGCCGATCTCTTTCCTCCGGGCCTGCATCTCCTCCTCCTCCTCCTGCCAGGCTCACAGCAGCCTTCCTCCTCCTCCTCCTCCTCCTCTTCTTCTTCCTCCTCCTCCTCTTCCTCGCTGCGTCGCGTTCCCCCGTTAGCAACCGCCTCCGTTGCTACCCCCGACGTCACTTCCGCCCCAGGGCGCTGCTCCAAAGGAAGACGTTTCTCCTCTCTCCCTCCCCCCCCCCCCCCCCCCGCCGGCTTCGGGGAGTTGTATTTCTCCGGCACGGAATCCCTCGCTTTCCCGCCTGCGGGACGCTAACTACGCTCCCCCTCATCCCTCCCGCGTTTCCGGGATGGCACCGGAAGCCACGCGGGGCATCTCGGGAGTTGTAGTTCCAGTTGTAGTTCCAGACAAGGCTGAGCAACGCTGCCCAAGGAAGGCAGAAGAGGCTGTTTCTGAACAGTTCGAGGCTGGAAGCGAGTCGGGTTCTTTCGCACGTGGGAAAAGGCGGCCGAAAGGAGCATGAGGAGGACCCGAGCGGAGGAAAGAGAGAAGGAGGCGAAGGTAAAGAGCTTAGCCCAAAAAGCACACAGGCTCTGCGGGCTCTGCAGGTGCACTGGTCCCTTCAAAACTGAAAGTTTGATGCAAACCCAAGTTTGCAAATTCAGCGTGCAAAATTCTCGGCTTTTGCACAAAATCTCGGCTTTTGCACAAAGAGAAGCAAACCTAGAAATTTGCCATTTAGTGAAAGAACCGTGAACCAGCGGAACGACTTGCCACTAGAAGTCGTGGGATGCTCCCAACGCCAGAGGTTTTGGTTTTTTTTTTCAGAAGAGATTGGACAACGGTTTGTCTGAAATGGTAACAGGTAGTCCCGGGTTTACAACAGTCCGTTTAGTGACCGCTCGAAGTTGCAACGGTACTGGAAAAAAAGTGACTTGGGACCATTTTTCACACTTACCGACCATTGCAGCATCCCTCACATGGTTTTACATTGGGATGCTTGGCAAACGATTCACATTTATGACGGTTGCAGTGTCCTGGAGTCATGTAATCTCCTTTTGGGACTGCCTGGCAAAAACCAAGTCAATGGGGAAACCAGCTTCACTTAAAAACATGTTACTAATTTAATAATTCCGGCGATTCGCTTAACAGCCGTGACAAGAAAAGCCATAAAACGGGGGCAAAACACACTGAACTGCAACAAATTTTGGGCTCAAAATTGTGGTCGTAAGTCAAAGACCACCTGTATCATCACTGAAAGAAACATTTACGTTTTAATAAGAGATACAGTTAGTAAGACTGTGAGTTGTTAAGTGAATCCGGCTTCTCAATTGACTAGCAACGTTAGATTCACTTAACAGCCATTACAAAAAGGGACCACATAACGCCGGGACACTACTGCAGTCATAAATATGAGTCAGTTGCCAAGTCTTTGAATTTTGATCATGTGGCCATGGTTGTTATTTATAGTAGCTGCCTTGAGTTACGTATAAAATAAATGCAGGTCGGGTAACAAATCAAATATCAAATAAATAAATCACAGCAATGTGAAGAAAAATATCAACTCCTGAAGCTGTTGAAGGCAGATTTAAGTCTTTCAGATGCCAGGAAAAATACCTCATTCCTTCCCTGATATTTCTGGCTGCATTGCAAATAACAAACATATCTTAAGTTTTCCCCTTACTTTCTAAAAGAATACACTGTTTAACACAGATAATTATTGGAAATATTTTGGCCTTTAATGTATTTTATTCTCGGGGCCAATTTGGGTAATGTTGCAATTGTTGTGAAGCATTCCAGCAAGAACTGTAACTTTGTCTTTCCATGTCCCGTAAACTGCAACAAGAAAGGCAAGTTTGCTTCTATTATTTCATTGTGTTTCATTTGTTTTCTTCAGAATTAAAGATTCACTGGGTTCCTGAGGGTTCCTGAGAGCTCCTCATTTAGAGGAAGTAATCAGTTGGATAATGATTACAAGGTTGATTCATCACAACCTATAATGTTTCCATGAAGTTGTGTCAATGCAAGACAAGAGTTGGTTTTACAAGCCATAATTGATGGCCTGTAATGTGGAGGGAACTTTGCCAGCCTCAAATTGTTCAGGAAACCGTTTCAGCAAATCATACTTTCAAATGAGGTGCTTCATCCGTGTGAATTATGGAGTATACAAGCATTTATTGCCCCATTAGATATGGAGTACTCAAATATTTGCATGGTCAATGATGAAGCGTCTAGAACAGTGTTTCCCAATCTTGAAGGTGGGGATTGAAGGTGAGGAGACTTCACCAGTTGAAGGTGAGGAGACTTCAACTCCCAGAATCCTCATCAATGACTATGGAATTCTGGGAGTTGAAGTCCATATACCTGGACATGGCCAAGGTTGGGAAACTCTTTTCTAGAAGTTCAAGGATAGGATTTCAGGTTTCACATCTCTGGAGTAGAAAGTAGTCTTCCAAGTGGCTTCCTGGTTCTTCTGTGTAGGTGGATAGTCAAGGTTTTTTTACAAATTTAGACAATATCAGAACCATGTTATGTCACGGCTGAGGAACCTACTGTGCCTCAGGAATGAAGTTCTCTCTTGTTGGATTGGATGATGACATGATGCTTTGGAGGAGTAGAGTCACAATCTTGGATGCTCCTTCTGGGACCACTTTGGCCTTGATTTTCCACATTTCTAGTTCCACCTTCAGACCCTGGTGCGTCTGCAGCTTGCCATACTCCTTCCTGATGTTGCTGTCACTTGTCACTGCTACATCAATCATCACCGTTGTCGCCTGGCCCTTGTCTACTATCACAGTGTTTGTTTGATTACCCAGAATTGGCTTGTCTGTCTGGATCTACTGCGTTTCCCCGAAAATAAGAGCCTGTCTTTTTTGAACCCTGAAATAAGCGCTTGGCCTTATTGCCATGCAATATTATCAGGGGATGTCTTATTTTCGGGTGTGTGTATGTAAAAAGTTAAAATCTCGGGTGTTTTCCCACGTCATTTAAAAGTCTGTTAGTTAAAATGCTTAAAATCCTGGCTAAGATCTCAGCTCAAAATCCTCCAAAATCCCAACAAAACACTTTGTAAGGTCTTTTAAAACTCTGGCTAAAATCCTAACCAACACTTTAAAGGCTTGGCAACGTTTCGACAAGCTCTCTACCTTGTCATCTTCTGGCCTTTACTATCAGTTTAGAAGTTGTGGGTCCTGCTTCATTATCCTAGCTGCATCCTGACTGCGAGTTAACAGCCCAGCTTACTTGAATCCGAGTAAGGGTATGGTTAGCTGATGAGAGCTAAATAGCTTGAAATAGATCTATACTAGTCTCCCTTTATTTCTTTATCAGCAAATATAAATTTGATGGTTTGTCGTGAATGCGACTGCTTGAGGGCTCCTGGATTGGAGCTGAAAGATTAAATGGAAGCAGTATGCTCCCTTCCATATTGGGGTAGACCAGGTGCTTTGATAGGAAAACACTTAATATATATATATGTATATATACCCTGTTTCTCCAAAAATAAGACCCAACCAGAAAAGTTCTAGCGTGATTTTTCAGGATGCTCGTAATACCCAAAATAAGCCCCAGTTAAGATTGTCAGCCAAACGGATGCATTTAGTATTGTATTTCCCCCAAAATAAGCCCTAACCAGAAAATAAGCCCTAATGCGTCTTTTGGAGCAAAAATTAATATATTTTCGGGAAAACACGGTGTGTGTATGTTACACATACACAAACACACATACTGCATGTGTTTGTGTGTGTGTGTGTATAAAAGTTAAAAACAAAAACTGTCTGCTCGGAAGAATCTAGGATGCTAACCCGTTGGCTCCCCCCCACTCCCAGCGCTATTACCGAGACAGCTCGTTGAGGAATAGCGCGCGTGGGGCGTAATGCATCACCTGTGGGTTGGAAACAATGCCCTGATTCAGGAGGGCGAGCCGATGAAAGGTAAGATGGAGAGCGTGGCAAATGCTCTCTGTTTTAAAATTCATCACGGCCCCGGATCGCCTGCTTCAGATTGCCCCAGCTGTTAACTCTGCAACCATTACAATAATGGCTTTTGTAAATGAAGGAGAACTAACACACACATATACACACACACACACACGTCCTTGATTACACCAGAGGGGTAATTTTCTCTTCATCGGTAATGGCAGCCCGAGTCTCGTATTGATCAGCCCATCAAGATACTAATCCTCTGTAAAATTACTTGTTATAACTGGAAATGTGTTAATCCAAGGCGGCCTGCGTCCCCCTGGCTCTCTGCTTGCTATTGAGCGCAGGCTGTTGAGATGGTTTATTTTTCATGATTTAAACCCCCCTGCCCTCGATTGGATCTTCCTTGGCAAAGAAGGGCCCTGGCTGGACAGCCGCTTAATCTTTCGCACTTAGCCCAAGGAATGTCCTTCTGGTTTCTTTTCTTTTCTTTCTTCCTTCCCCCTTTTTTTAAAATGGCCTTTTTAATTAAGGAGCGAGGTTTGTCTTACTGAGTTGTGTCCGGACTCAGATTTATTAAGCAGCTAAAATATAAACGGGAGGGAAACTTCTGCAGGGACGTATTTCCTGTGCTGTAAATAAGCTCAGGGATGTATCTAGCGAGTGCTTAAGCACCTGCCAATACAGGTAAGCCCTCTTATTTACAACCGCAATGGAGCCCAGAATTTCTTAGCCAGACCGTTGTTAAGTGAATTTGCCCCATTTTAGGACCTTTCTTGCCACGGTTGTTAAGTGAATCAGTGCAGTTTTGACTGAGTAACACGGACGTTAAACGAAGTTGGCTCCCCCATTGACTTTGCTTGTCACAAGGTCACAAATGGGGATCATGTGACACACACCCCCGTCCCGCCGGATACTGCAACTGTCATAAATATGAGTCAGTGGCCAAGCGTCTGAATTTGGACCACTGGGGATGCTTCCATGGTCGTAAGTTTGGAAAACGGTCCTAAATCATTTTTTTTTTTCAGTTGTAACTTGAAACAGTCACTGAGCAAACTGTACAAGCCTTGGAAGGGAGTGAAAGATCTTTTTCCTTGGTTCAAATATTGCTTGAAGGATTCTCAAATCAATGCGATAATAATCACAACTTTAAGAATATTGCGAGGGTCAGACAGCAGCGGCTTTTAATTTGTTACGTGAAAGTTTGCGGACTTGGTACAGGTAGTAAGCCTCAACTTGCAATCATTCTTTTAGGGACCGTTCAAAGTTACAACGGCCCTGAAAACAAGTGACTTATGACCGCTTTTCACCCTTACGACCATGGAAGCATCACGTGATCAAAATTTGGATGCTGGCATCTGATTGATATTTGATCCCCTTTTGCGACCTTCTGATAAGCAAAGTCAATGGGGGAGCCAGATTCTGTTAGGAATGGAATGGAGTGGAATAGAATGTAGAGTAGAGTAGAGTAGAGTAGAGTAGAGTAGAGTAGAGTAGAGTAGAGTAGAGTAGAGTAGAGTAGAGTAGAATTAGAATTAGAATTAGAATTAGAATTAGAATTAGAATTAGAATAGAATAGAATAGAATAGAATAGAATAGAATAGAATAGAATAGAAGAATAGAGAATAGAAGAGAGAAGAG